TGAGTCTGGGTCAGCAGCATGGCCGTTTGTTGAGGGTGTCCGGCATGTTACATTGATGAAACTGGTTTAGTAGCATGGCCGTGTGTTGAGGATGTCCGGCATGTTACATTGATGAAACTGGGTCATTAGCATGGCAGTGTGTTGATGGATTCCAGCATGTTACATTGATGAAACTGGGTCAGCAGCATGGCTGTGTGTTGAGGATGTCCGGCATGTAACATTGATGAAACTTGGTCATCAGCATCGCTGTGTGTTGAGGATGTCCAGCATGTTACATTGATGAGACTGGGTCATCAGCATCGCCGTGTGTTGAGGATGTCCGGCATGTTACATTGATGAGACTGGGTCATCAGCATCGCTGTGTGTTGAGGATGTCCGGCATGTTACATTGATGAGACTGGTTCAGTAGCATCGCGGTATGTTGAGGATGTCCGGCATGTTACATTGATGAAACTGGGTCAGTAGCATGGCCGTGTGTTGATGGATTCCAGCATGTTACATTGATGAAACTGGGTCAGCAGCATGGCTGTGTGTTGAGGATGTCCGGCATGTTACATTGATGAAACTTGGTCATCAGCATCGCTGTGTGTTGAGGATGTCCAGCATGTTACATTGATGAGACTGGGTCATCAGCATGGCCGTGTGTTGAGGGTGTCCGGCATGTTACATTGATGAAACTGGGTCAGTAGCATGGCCATGTGTTGAGGGTGTCTGTCATGTTACATTGATGAAACTGGGTCAGTAGCATGGCCATGTGTTGAGGGTGTTCGGCATGTTGCATTGATGAGACTGGGTCATCAGCATGGATGTGTGTTGAGGGTGTCCGGCATGTTTCATTGATGAGACTGGTTCAGTAGCATCGCGGTATGTTGAGGGTGTGCGGCATGTTACATTGATGAGACTGGGTCAGTAGCATCGCGGTGTGTTGAGGATGTCCGGCATGTTACATTGATGAAACTGGGTCAGTAGCATCGCCGTGTGTTGAGGGTGTCCGGCATGTTACATTGATGAGACTGGTTCAGTAGCATCGCGGTATGTTGAGGGTGTCCGGCATGTTACATTGATGAGACTGGGTCATTAGCATGGCTGTGTGTTGAGGGTGTCCGGCATGTTACATTGATGAAACTGGGTCAGTAGCATCGCCGTGTGTTGAGGGTGTCCGGCATGTTACATTGATGAGACTGGTTCAGTAGCATCGCGGTATGTTGAGGGTGTCCGGCATGTTACATTGATGAGACTGGGTCATTAGCATGGCTGTGTGTTGAGGATGTCCGGCATGTTACATTGATGAGACTGGGTCATTAGCATCGCTGTGTGTTGAGGGTGTCCGGCATGTTACATTGATGAGACTGGGTCAGTAGCATCGCGGTGTGTTGAGGGTGTCCGACATGTTACATTGGGTCAGTAGCATCGCCGTGTTACATTGATAAGTGGGTCATTGTTTTCATGGAGAAGTTTTAATAAATAGTTATTACCCACAAAAAATATGCAGTAAGAAAGAATTCACAATTTTTAACTTTGTTTTTTGAGTATGAATTCACACAATGTACTGTAAATTTTGAAATTAATGAGTCTCCAAATCAATACAAATGCTGACCCGAAGCCAAAAATGCGACTCAAAATCAATGCGACTCCCTCCCACCCCATCCCCAAAGGAATGATACATATCCTTACCTTAATCCAATCAAACACAAATAGCACCGCTTATTTAGCACTGAGTAAAGGACTTCTGTACTAACAATAAACAGAGTTTTCCTAAAAACAACACACAGTTTATATGTTTATTCTGTTGACTTACCAGGCATTAAGGAAGTTCAAGGCAATAACAACAGTTACCTGATTGGAGTGGTCAGTGTTGCCTAGTTCACACAAGTGGGTAGAACTCTTTACCCCAGCAGTGATAGCTCACCGGATGCCTATTGTGTAATTCCTATTTTTTAAATGACATTGTTATGAACTTGTTACAACTGCTGTTCAATAAGTGGTGTTTGTGTATATATATTCAAGTTTGAATTTCCGCTACAAAGTGTGCAGTGAGGCCGTCTTATTGTTGATAGTCATTTGGAGACATAAATGCAAAGTTTTATTGATGCAAACAAAGATTGCTCGCATTTTTCGCATTTAATTCACGCTTGCTTTAATTTCAAGATATACAGTATTCTTATTACCTGTGGCCACTCCCACATTTCAGGCCAAAGCAAACCAACCGGGTTTTTCTGTTAGATAGAACGAGATGAATACCCGAATGCATGCACTCAATAAAGGTCAAGTAATTATAGGACAATCTACACAGATTCTACTTTTTCTACCATGTTTAATATATTTACATGGCACATGAGCTTGACTGGGGTAGCAACTATGTACCATGTTGATTCTTACAAGCAGTATGTGTTTACACTGGGTACCCACATCTTACACAAGTGATATACCGCCAAAGGTGTGGACACTGCATTGTCAACACAAGATCACACCTAGCTAGTCTCTTGATGTGCATGTGTTGTGTTTGAAAGATATGGTGAGGGTGAGTCATCCTGTTTAAACTTCCAACTGAGGTTTCTGTGAGTGGCAAGGCAGGGTAAGGAGAAAGAGAAATTAAATTTCTAGCATACCTGTGTATTATTGAGTGTGATAAGACGCTGCAGTGTCAATAAGGTCAGTACTGGGAGATCATAGTGACCTAGTAGCAGTGATATCCTACCAGCAGCCAGTAGGGGAGGACTGGAGGAGGTGGACAGCGATTTGCTTCAGTGCTACTTGCTCAGGTACATGATTGCTACATGGCTCATATTATTCTGTTCAATTGCCATAATGTATCTAGTCAGGCTGACTGGGAGGTACCACAGCTGATTCAGTGAAAATGGAAGTTGATTACAAGGTTGCTCACAGATGACAGAGCCATACATGTGACACATGCTTCAAGTATTTCAGTCATATTCGTCTTCCAGGTTTTAAATGTATGAAAAAAAATGCATCTAAAGAATCAAAATAACTATAACACATGTTCGCTTGGTAGGTGTTGAAAAAGAAAAAAATAAGGAATCATAAAGTGTATAAAAATGAAATTTGTATGGTGGCTGATGTGTTTGAGTTGCTCTCTGCAACGTAAGTTATGTCCTACATGACTGTATCCACCCTCTGTAGCCAGGAATGTCAGGCTGTCACAGCTGTCAAACACTGGCAATGACGATCAAACAGGAATTCAAATATGGAGTTCACTGAGGGTGCAAACTTGAACCATTTACATGTGGAGGTTTTTTTACCAGCTTGTCTTGGCACAACTTTGCTGGCTGGCTGGCTGCTGGTGTGCCTCTGTGCAATGTTGCTACATCTGGTTAGACTCACAATAGCCTCAACATTAATTGACCAAATTCACTTTCCCTTCAAAATATGGTTTGTGATGTTTCCGATACCTCTTGCTACTTGCAGACTCAAGGAGGTAGTTCGTGATCTGGTATTTTAAGGGAACGACAAATATTCTGTTGATGCTGGATATTTTTGTAAGTTTTAGTAGGTTTTAAGCTGAACCCATTTGTGTGTGCAATCTGCAATGCTGTGTGTGGGGTGTCCTCATTGGAGCCAGCGCCTACTCTGTCCGGGGAGAGCCTCTGTGGGGGATCGAGGGGACAGTTTCAAACACACAAAAAGCCAAATATCATTCATTGTGTAGATTGTTTAAATGATCTTGTTTAATAATTCATTAAACTAAATTATGAATATTTGTGAAAAGTTGCAACTGTGTGCAGTATTTTTTTGGAAGATAGTGAAGATATTTGAGTTAAGGCAGATGTTGTTGGACATGGGGGACAGATGAATCTCCACATCCAGATTGTGGTTTGAAGAGTTTCCTTATGGTGGTGTGCAGAAAGGGGAAAGTTTGTTGGGGCCTGGTGTATAGGGGGACTGCAAGTGTTGAAGGAAGGGGACATCACCAGCACATGTGGCACACATTGCTTCAACTATGCCTAATGTAAACAGGGACGTGAAGCAGGCTGGCTGTTGTGTTGCGACATGCTGCTTATTCCGTGGTCTGCGGCAGGTGAGAGTATTCAGTCAGTCATACATGTACTTTGGTTCTGCTCCGATCAGGAGATGCACCTGAAGGATTGATAATATGCTCTGTAATATGCTCTGTATTCATTGACACTACTTATTGTTGTGGAAAGGTATTGTCTCTGATAAGTTTATAGTCACACTGCAATGCGAGGTATTTCATTATCTCTGGTATATGTGCTCAATGTCAGATTGCTGCAAGTATGTGACTATTTAGATGTGTGGGTAAAGTATTTAGATGTGTGGGTCAATAGCAGTTGTGTTTCTTCGCTGCCGTGTCATACATGTAGCTCCTGCGTCAGGGCTGGCTCACTGTCACATGCCGCACATGTTTCACCAGGGCGTGATGGCCACTCTGTAGCCGTGCTTGTTACAGGTGGGAGGTTTACTATTGGGTGGATGTCAGTTAACATAGGGGATAGTAGATGGATGTATTCCTGGGTATACACTCACAGAAGTTAATGAGGGAATTTATGGGTGTGAGTGAGCTAGGCCTGTGTGTCTGACACACTCTATTTGGGTTCCTGATGTACTAAGGGTATTTGGTATTTCCTTTATGGATGCTAGCTGTAACATCTCATCATATATGATGGTTCAGGAGCCTGGTGTTCACTCGCCTGAAAGTAACAGTCATGTAAAATTAGGTTACTTTTCTTTGCAGCAAATATTTACTCTTTTGATAGAAACCACAATTACATGTATGAACTTTAGTTGAAACTTTCCAAGAAAGTAACCATCTATAGAGTTCCTCGCCTAATTCTGGTCTAATTTCCTACAGGGCTGATATTCCACATTCTCTCTAAATTCACTAGGTTGATGAAGCGATTAACACTTTGCTTGCCGAATATAGTAGAGTTGTTTAAGATATATGATGTTGCTTCCAGAAGATACAGGTCAATAATGTTAACTAAATACTGAACAATAGTGAATGTGTTCCATGTATTTTGCAGGTTGCCATCACTGTGTACTGGCTAGGCAAAGTTGTAAATCAATCATTCCAAGGACCACATCTAGACTTCACTGCTTTTGCACCTCTGGTGCACCATCACTCCAAGGACATCATATTAAATGACCATTTCAGACGGGACTCCTCTTGTTCATGGGAGTCTAATGAATATTGCAGTGCTTACGGGTCTCATGAAGGAAATTCTCTCGGGAATATACGAGAACAAGAAAACCGCCATCATAGAGACAGTTCTTATGAGTCTTATGCATCCTATGAAAAAGGTTCTGAAGATAGCCTAGATGAACAAGTGTTTGACAACATGCCAGTCCGCTATGGAAGCCAGTCTGCACTCAACAAGATGGGTGATGGCATGTATTCAGATGACCGACAAAACAGCATGTACCGAAGTAGCCCTGATCTTTCACAGGGGTCATATCACAGAAGGTCTTCCTCCAACGACAGTCTAGATGGATCTTACCATGGCAGCCACTCACGGCAGTCGTCGGGGAGCATGGAGAACTATCCCACTAGGCCACATCGCCGCACAAGTTCTTCCACAGCTGATCCACTGCAGTTTGTGAAGATGCAGAAACAGACAGACTTGGCCAAGAAAGCTGAGGAGCAAATGAAGTTAGCTGCCACACAGAAGGAGATCAAAAAGGATGTGTCTGTCAGCAAGGACGAAGATGACTGGCTGTCAGTAAGTGTAATGTGTGACTTCCTGAAAGGAATAAGTATGAGTGTAGCATTACACTTAGTCAAAGTAAGTGCTGATATATCCTTTCGTGAACTATGCATGAGGATTACACAGGTATTATCTATTTGTCCTAGCTGTGTCTCAGAGTATTTTACGCTTTGTATGAAGTCATTTGGTGAAAGTATTTGCCTGTGATTGATTTGTGAGCATCATTGATCAAGAGCCATGACTGGGATGATTTCAGAACCTCAGTAGCTGGAAGACACGGAGGAAGAGCCAGTCCCATCAGGCATATCAGCTGAAGGAGGAGTTGGAGGAACTCTCCAAAGACAAGGAAGAGGAGGTGAAGACAACTTTACAGACAAAGACCTTCAGTCAGATGCAGCAAGAGAGGTGAGTCACGTTGGGTGTCTAGGCCAAAACTTCCTGTCACTAGCAGCAAGAGAGGTGAGTCACTTTGGGTGTCTAGACCCAAACTTCCTGTCACTAGAAGCAAGAGAGGTGAGTCACGTTGGGTGCCTAGACCAAAACTTCCTGTCACTAGCAGCAAGAGAGGTGAGTCACTTTGGGTTTCTAGACCAAAACTTCCTGTCACTAGCAGCAAGAGAGGTGAGTCACGTTGGGTGCCTAGACCAAAACTTTCTGTCACCAGCAGCAAGAGAGGTGAGTCATGTTGGGTGTCTAGACCAAAACTTCCTGTCACTAGCAGCAAGAGAGGTGAGTCACGTTTGGTGTCTAGACCAAAACTTCCTGTCACTTGCAGCAAGAGAGGTGAGTCACGTTGGGTGCCTAGACCAAAACATTCTGTCACTTGCAGCAAGAGAGGTGAGTCACTTTGGGTGTCTAGACCAAAACTTCCTGTCACTAGCAGCAAGAGAGGTGAGTCACTTTGGGTGTCTGGAACCAAACTTCCTGTCACTTGCAGCAAGAGAGGTGAGTCACGTTTGGTGTCTAGACCAAAACATCATGTCACTTGCAGCAAGAGAGGTGAGTCACGTTGGGTGTCTAGACCAAAACATCCTGTCACTAGCAGCAAGAGAGGTGAGTCACTTTAGGTGTCTAGACCAAAACTTTCTGTCACCAGCAGCAAGAGAGGTGAGTCACTTTGGGTGTCTGGACCAAAACTTCCTGTCACTAGCAGCAAGAGAGGTGAGTCATGTTGGGTGTCTAGACCAAAACTTTCTGTCACCAGCAGCAAGAGAGGTGAGTCATGTTGGGTGTCTAGACCAAAACATCCTGTCACTTGCAGCAAGAGAGGTGAATCACTTTGGGTTTCTAGACCAAAACATCCTGTCACTAGCAGCAAGAGAGGTGAGTCACGTTTGGTGTCTAGACCAAAACATCCTGTCACCAGCAGCAAGAGAGGTGAGTCACTTTGGGTGTCTGGACCAAAACTTCCTGTCACTTGCAGCAAGAGAGGTGAGTCACTTTGGGTGTCTGGACCCAAACTTCCTGTCACTAGCAGCAAGAGAGGTGAGTCACGTTTGGTGTCTAGACCAAAACTTTCTGTCACCAGCAGCAAGAGAGGTGAGTCACGTTGGGTGTCTAGACCAAAACATCCTGTCACATGCAGCAAGAGAGGTGAGTCACTTTAGGTGTCTAGACCAAAACTTTCTGTCACCAGCAGCTAGAGAGGTGAGTCACGTTGGGTGTCTGGACCAAAACTTCCTGTCACTAGCAGCAAGAGAGGTGAGTCACGTTGGGTGTCTGGACCAAAACTTCCTGTCACTTGCAGCAAGAGAGGTGAATCACTTTGGGTGTCTAGACCAAAACTTTCTGTCACCAGCAGCAACAGAGGTGAGTCACTTTGGGTGTCTAGACCAAAACTTTCTGTCACCAGCAGCAAGAGAGGTGAGTCACTTTGGGTGTCTAGACCAAAACTTTCTGTCACCAGCAGCAAGAGAGGTGAGTCACTTTGGGTGCCTAGACCAAAACATCCTGTCACATGCAGCAAGAGAGGTGAGTCATGTTGGGTGTCTAGACCAAAACATCCTGTCACTTGCAGCAAGAGAGGTGAATCACTTTGGGTTTCTAGACCAAAACATTCTGTCACCAGCAGCAAGAGAGGTGAGTCATGTTGGGTGCCTAGACCAAAACTTCCTGTCACTTGCAGCAAGAGAGGTGAATCACTTTGGGTTTCTAGACCAAAACTTCCTGTCACTTGCAGCAAGAGAGGTGAGTCACGTTTGGTGTCTAGACCAAAACATCCTGTCACCAGCAGCAAGAGAGGTGAGTCACTTTGGGTGTCTGGACCCAAACTTCCTGTCACTTGCAGCAAGAGAGGTGAGTCACTTTGGGTGTCTGGACCCAAACTTCCTGTCACTTGCAGCAAGAGAGGTGAGTCATGTTGGGTGTCTAGACCAAAACATCCTGTCACTAGCAGCAAGAGAGGTGAGTCACGTTTGGTGTCTAGACCAAAACATCCTGTCACCAGCAGCAAGAGAGGTGAGTCACTTTGGGTGTCTGGACCAAAACTTCCTGTCACTTGCAGCAAGAGAGGTGAGTCACTTTGGGTGTCTGGACCCAAACTTCCTGTCACTTGCAGCAAGAGAGGTGAGTCACGTTTGGTGTCTAGACCAAAACTTTCTGTCACCAGCAGCAAGAGAGGTGAGTCACGTTGGGTGTCTAGACCAAAACATCCTGTCACATGCAGCAAGAGAGGTGAGTCACTTTAGGTGTCTAGACCAAAACATCCTGTCACTAGCAGCAAGAGAGGTGAGTCACGTTTGGTGTCTAGACCAAAACATCCTGTCACCAGCAGCAAGAGAGGTGAGTCACTTTGGGTGTCTGGACCAAAACTTCCTGTCACTTGCAGCAAGAGAGGTGAGTCACTTTGGGTGTCTGGACCCAAACTTCCTGTCACTAGCAGCAAGAGAGGTGAGTCACGTTTGGTGTCTAGACCAAAACTTTCTGTCACCAGCAGCAAGAGAGGTGAGTCACGTTGGGTGTCTAGACCAAAACATCCTGTCACATGCAGCAAGAGAGGTGAGTCACTTTAGGTGTCTAGACCAAAACTTTCTGTCACCAGCAGCTAGAGAGGTGAGTCACGTTGGGTGTCTGGACCAAAACTTCCTGTCACTAGCAGCAAGAGAGGTGAGTCACGTTGGGTGTCTGGACCAAAACTTCCTGTCACTTGCAGCAAGAGAGGTGAATCACTTTGGGTGTCTAGACCAAAACTTTCTGTCACCAGCAGCAACAGAGGTGAGTCACTTTGGGTGTCTAGACCAAAACTTTCTGTCACCAGCAGCAAGAGAGGTGAGTCACTTTGGGTGTCTAGACCAAAACTTTCTGTCACCAGCAGCAAGAGAGGTGAGTCACTTTGGGTGCCTAGACCAAAACATCCTGTCACATGCAGCAAGAGAGGTGAGTCATGTTGGGTGTCTAGACCAAAACATCCTGTCACTTGCAGCAAGAGAGGTGAATCACTTTGGGTTTCTAGACCAAAACATTCTGTCACCAGCAGCAAGAGAGGTGAGTCATGTTGGGTGCCTAGACCAAAACTTCCTGTCACTTGCAGCAAGAGAGGTGAATCACTTTGGGTTTCTAGACCAAAACTTCCTGTCACTTGCAGCAAGAGAGGTGAGTCACGTTTGGTGTCTAGACCAAAACATCCTGTCACCAGCAGCAAGAGAGGTGAGTCACTTTGGGTGTCTGGACCCAAACTTCCTGTCACTTGCAGCAAGAGAGGTGAGTCACTTTGGGTGTCTGGACCCAAACTTCCTGTCACTTGCAGCAAGAGAGGTGAGTCATGTTGGGTGTCTAGACCAAAACATCCTGTCACTAGCAGCAAGAGAGGTGAGTCACGTTTGGTGTCTAGACCAAAACATCCTGTCACCAGCAGCAAGAGAGGTGAGTCACTTTGGGTGTCTGGACCAAAACTTCCTGTCACTTGCAGCAAGAGAGGTGAGTCACTTTGGGTGTCTGGACCCAAACTTCCTGTCACTTGCAGCAAGAGAGGTGAGTCACGTTTGGTGTCTAGACCAAAACTTTCTGTCACCAGCAGCAAGAGAGGTGAGTCACGTTGGGTGTCTAGACCAAAACATCCTGTCACATGCAGCAAGAGAGGTGAGTCACTTTAGGTGTCTAGACCAAAACTTTCTGTCACCAGCAGCTAGAGAGGTGAGTCACGTTGGGTGTCTGGACCAAAACTTCCTGTCACTAGCAGCAAGAGAGGTGAGTCACGTTGGGTGTCTGGACCAAAACTTCCTGTCACTTGCAGCAAGAGAGGTGAATCACTTTGGGTGTCTAGACCAAAACTTTCTGTCACCAGCAGCAACAGAGGTGAGTCACTTTGGGTGTCTAGACCAAAACTTTCTGTCACCAGCAGCAAGAGAGGTGAGTCACTTTAGGTGTCTAGACCAAAACTTTCTGTCACCAGCAGCAAGAGAGGTGAGTCACTTTGGGTGCCTAGACCAAAACATCCTGTCACATGCAGCAAGAGAGGTGAGTCATGTTGGGTGTCTAGACCAAAACATCCTGTCACTTGCAGCAAGAGAGGTGAATCACTTTGGGTTTCTAGACCAAAACTTTCTGTCACCAGCAGCAAGAGAGGTGAGTCATGTTGGGTGCCTAGACCAAAACTTCCTGTCACTTGCAGCAAGAGAGGTGAATCACTTTGGGTTTCTAGACCAAAACTTCCTGTCACTTGCAGCAAGAGAGGTGAGTCACGTTGGGTGTCTAGACCCAAACTTCCTGTCACTTACAGCAAGAGAGGTGAGTCATGTTGGGTGTCTAGACCAAAACATACTGTCACTAGCAGCAAGAGAGGTGAGTCACTTTGGGTGTCTGGACCAAAACTTCCTGTCACTAGCAGCAAGAGAGGTGAGTCACTTTAGGTGTCTAGACCAAAACTTCCTGTCACTAGCAGCAAGAGAGGTGAGTCACGTTGGGTGTCTGGACCAAAACTTCCTGTCACTTGCAGCAAGAGAGGTGAGTCACGTTGGGTGCCTAGACCAAAACTTCCTGTCACCAGCAGCTAGAGAGGTGAGTCACTTTGGGTGTCTGGACCCAAACTTCCTGTCACATGCAGCAAGAGAGGTGAATCACATTGGGTGTCTAGTCAAGTTATGGTTTGTCAATTTGTTGAACACATGATTATCAATATTTGAGTATTACAAATAAAATATTTCATTGTTCACTACTTGATGTTGCAGAGAGCGGCGTAAGAGTTCCAATGTGAGAAGTTTCTACCCTGTAGAAGAGAATGAGGAGGAGAGTGATGTGAACACACGGCAGGAATCTGCCTACATCAGCAGTGACAGTATCACAACAGTGAGTGCATCACAACTGGCGTACACAAATATTGATTCAAATAGTTTAAATTGAGTCAAGTTTAATAATGTCTTTGGTTGATTTGTTGCTTCCTATTTAATCCAGTACTTTCTGTTTCAAGGGACTGCAGTTAAGTACCAGCACCGATGCAGTGGCTCACTGGGCAAATGACAGTGAAGGTGAAAATGAAGATAATAATAACAATCAGTCAGTTGATAATAAGAATGGAATGCTTGAGGATCCTTTTGATGAGCCTGAAACATCTCCTGGGAGGAAACCAAGTCCGAGTAAGAGGCGATCTGGTAATATGGATAGCCAGTCTTCTCCAGATAACAGAGATTGGGAAGTGAGGAAAAGTGTTTCAAATAAAAATTCACGCAATAGCCTTGAATCTACTCCTGCATGCAACAAAATTAACGATATCAGACACAGGTTTGAACAAACTGTTGAACAGCCAAAATCTCTATCTTCCGCAGTTCATACAAAAGTGGATTTGAAATCTCGCCTTGAATCATTTGAAAACAGAGATAATTATCCAGAACCAGTGCACTCCTCAAGGATATCAGACAGTGAGAACAGCTTTTCTACGAGATCTGTTGCCAATGTTGGGGACGATTCTCGATTCAGGCGTAGTAATGTGAGTGAAAGTGCTTCAGCCATGGAAACTAGGTTTTCACGGAGTCATGAAAATGGTGCAGAAAGAGGTGCCAAGGATAATGGCAGTGGCAGCCCAAAACGGATTTATAGAGAAACATCTACCACCTCTACAAAAAATATGTATGGAAGCTTGCGGAAATCAGGCCGGGTAAGTTTGCATTTGTGTTTGACATCTGCATTAGTGAAGTAAATATACTCTAGTTAGTCAAGTCAGTGGGCATCTGGATAAAGTGTTGAACTTTACTTACAAGTGGAAGGTCTGTGGTTTTAATCCCGTCATAAAACTCAAAGACGTACACAATGACATTAAGTTGTTCCAATGGATATCAGACATGTTTGACTCGGATGGTGCTGTTGATTATGTGTCATCATGTCCAGACATTGTGGATTGTTACTCACAATATCAATCATTAGATTGATGATTATTTACAGGCAGCTACCATATGACTGGATATTGCCGAGTGCAACATTAAACAACAAATTAAGAAAAGATGTAATAAAAAAACTGTGTGTTCATGTGTGGTCAGTTTGACTGTATAGGGACTGTTAATGGGAAGGGGGGCTTACAGGCACCTTCATGAGGTAGCTATAAGTAATGCTGGACTTTAGAATAGGTCAATAATTTCTTGCAGTCCACAGATATCACATTATCAGATATCATATTTCCTTCATTATTGTGTCGTGTCAACTTTTTCTTTGGTTTTGGTATTGCTAACCAGCTGATTCTAAACAAGGCAAGATAACTGGGGTGAGTTTTATCTTGAACAATACCTATGTGAAATATCAAGCATTTCAAGCAAGTTGAGTGTGTAGACAAGTACTGGCCAGCAGAGAGTCCAGCAGTCTGTATTAACATGGTCAGCATCACACAGACTGGACATCAGCACAGATAGCTTCACCTGGAGCTGCTCATGTTGGAATAAACTGACCCTGTCACCTATTCCAACATGTATGTCAAGATGCAGTGCAAAGGTTATTAGCACTGAAATTATTAATTGACATTTTGAATGGTTAATATGCAAAATTAATTGCTTATTTCTGGTCAGAAATGTTCATGATTATTTCATTTATACAGCAATGCGCATGAACATGTTTGTGTTTTGATTTTTAGTGCTAGCACACTGAGTTAGTACCCCACATTTTAACATGTATACCCCTCTCCAACACAGAATACTGATTCCATTTGAAAGCAGGGTAAATGATAAGTTTGATGAACTTCAAATATGGAACCAGCATGTGTCCCATTACACACTGTTTTACTTCAGTTTGAAAGTATAATTGTTATGTCAAAAACCTTTATTTAAGACATAAATGACAAGTGGGAGTTGTATATGGTACATTAAAACACTACAGGGAGAATAAACCATGAGAGGCGCATGCCAGAGTGGTTTATTCTCCCTGCAGCGTTTTATTGTATGATAAACAACAACCACGAGTCGTTTAATTCTTATATGGGATATTGACATTATGTACAGCCTCTTTAAGGATGATGATAAAATGTAAAAGGCTTTAAAAATATCTACCCATATTTTAATAATAATGACTCCCTGAATAGAATCCGACCTTGGCAATGTCTTACAAGTCCGTTTTATCAACAGGGGGGGGGGGGTAAGTTTGCTAATGTTCACGTCGAATATCTGTACCTTTTCGCCCAGTACCGATTGTCATGTCTCTCTTTTTTGGATGAGATCAATTGGCCACTGCATTTATCTGCGTTGACCAGCTGTAACTAAGGGGAACATTTTCCTCTCAAAAATACATTGTCCAATATACAACATCATCAAGTTGTGAGAGTATGTTCAAATCTCCAGAAATGAAGACATGATAGAACAATGTTTTATCCTGAAATAAACCACGCTCTTCATTGTTCTTTGAAATTTATCACGTTGTTTTCTTATAGTTGCAAATAGAAATATGTTTCTCATGCATTTCCAAGGATTTCTGTGTTTTGCTTCAGGTTATTTAAGGTTCTCACTACAGGTAAAGAGTAGCATCAGACCTCAGTCCACAGTGGACAATATCATTGCCTGCTTTGTATTCCATGGGGGAAGAGGGGTGGGTACCTGATAGGTTGGCACTACCCCCCCACTTGTTATCCCATGGGGGAAATAGGGTGGGTACCTGATAGGTTGGCACTACCCCCCCACTTGTTATCCCATGGGAGAAGAGGGTTGGGCATCTGATAGGTTTGCACTACCCCCCACTTGTTATCCCATGGGGGAAGAGGGGTGGGTACCTGATAGGTTGGCACTTACCCCCACTTATTATCTCATTGGGGAAATAGGGTGGGTACCTGATAGGTTGACACTACCCCCCACTTGTTATCCCATGGGTGTAGAGGGGTGGGTACCTGATAGGTTGGCACTACCCTCCACTTATCCCATAGGGGAAATGGGGTGGGTACCTGATAGGTTGGCACTACCCCCCACTTGTTATCCCATGGGGGAAGAAGGGTGGGTATCTGATAGGTTCTTTAAGAACTGAATAAACAAAGGAAGGATGTTTTTCATTTGTAGTATTTCATGCAGTTCTTATCTTATGCCACATGTCTGTCCTTTGTTTTTCGTGAGATTTATTTACAAGAAGAAAGTATAGATAAATTTGAATTTATTTGGATGAGTCTAACTTGGACTTGGACTTTAAGACATCCCTTCATTACTGTGTGCCTTCTTAGGATATGAGGATCAGGGAAAGCATGAGATGTCGTGGGTTTGGATCCCAGTTCACCCTGATCATGTTTCTGGGTTTATGGACTCATGCTCGTGGGTTTCACCAAAGTGGTAAAAGTCTGAGGCCTGCATCACTTTGGGCTTTACTTCCATTTGACATGCCGTCAAATAACTACAATACTGTTATAAGCAGCATTAAATCCAACTTCAAATTGTACCGGGAGGAAATGGAAGAAAATAGTTGCTGAAACACTGCCAACTTGACACTAAAATACACATATATAATACACATATAAAATACACATATATAATACACATATAAAATACACATATATAATACACATATAAAATACACATATATAATACACATGCATCACCACTGCATCAGCATTTCTTGTTTGTTACAGTTTCAGCAACCATCAAACATGGGGGTATACTTCTTTTTGCCCAGCAGTTTGGTTCAGCTGAATGGAAAACAAGTTCTTTGAATGTAAATCATAATAACCCGTTCTTTGTATTGCAGGACTATACAGAGAAAAATATCAAAATTAGTCAGAAACCAAATAGTGAAAAAGGTTTTGGATTTACAATACTTGGAGGAGTAGATACCCAACAGCCAGTGACAGTGCAGAAGATCACACTAGGTACGTAACATGAGTTAGAGGGCAATCTAGCCATACCATGTCAACATTTACAAAGGGAAATATCCAGGTGTTTTGCTCACCTGACTTAAAATCCTAGGACAGCGTGTATTGACCAATGAAGCTGAAGCTTCACATGCTTGTTTCCACCACTGATGACACCGGAGCCTTTAAAGTGGTTCAAATCTGAATTTTAATATAGCGGTCGTGGTAATCATTGGAAAATCTATTTATGTACAGTACCGAGCCATGTTTTTTTTAAATGGAATAAAATATTAGAAATCTGTAGTTAGTGGTGTGATAAAGTAGATACAATTTATTGATAACAGCTTCTTTAATACTGTAGAGTACTGTTGTCAAGCAAGACTGGTATAAGGATCTGTACCAAAACGCCACCTTTACAGCATTAAAGAAGTTGTTATCCATAAATTGTGTCTACTTTGTCATCCGTCAAGTTCTAAGTAATGCCTATCAAACAATTCATAGAGGTGTGATATTTTGTATTTTAACCTAATCTGAACCTTTGCATTTTCGATTACAATAAAAGCTGAAACGTCTTATGGCCATTACTGTGATGATAGAATGGAGATAAACCTACTGTGTTTTGAAATTTGATGTGGTCCCACTGTAGATTATATAGCTCTTATTTATACATTTGAAACCTCGTGTCAATGTGCCCGGTTCGATACTGAACTAAGAGGTATATTGGGGATACATCACATTTCAAAACGAAGGTTTGACTCTTAAATATTTGAATAATAATGCTGACAGCAACCCTTTTTAAAGTGTCTGTCTTTGTTGACATTTAAAACATTTCATTACATGTCCGGGTGAGCTACAACGCCTGTGGCACTAGTTTTACTAAGTAAGAATAGAATCCCTTTAGCTGAGGGTATTTCCTATATGAATGTCATTAGTGTTGCCACTACTCCACTGTGCTCAATGTGTGGCATTGTCTGGTGGCACTTACTCATTATCTATTTACTCATGTTTGGCAACTCCTCCGAAACCATAAGTCCCATAATGTTGAAACTTATAGATGGTTGCAACAATGGTTTCTCCAAAAGTTATTCATGTCTTAATATTACACAACAGCAGCTTTCATTGAAAATTTCAGCTTTGTCTGTTGCTCAATTTTGTTTGGATGTATCATTGTGGAATTGTATATGCAGTAATTACCTGGTATGCTCAATACAATACTCCTAATGCATTCCTTGTGTGTGTTTAGCTCACCTGCACTTTCAGTACAAGTGAGCTTGTGGTATGGAACCTTGTCAGTAGTCCTTCGTCCAACCATCCATTGTAACCTTTTGTATTGTTGTGATCTCTTGTAAACCACAGGCTGAAACTTTGCCTTACTAAGTATATCATTTGTGCCAATTACTGAGTCATCTCATTGTGTTTCTTTAGAAATGACACTGTGATATGCAGAAATTAAATGGTATACCTGATAACACATGGCATTTTGTTGTGTATTGTGACATTTGGCATGCATGCTCATTTAAGTGCAATATTGTGTATGTGCAGTAATAATAATAACTATTTATTGTGAAGGAACTTATGTTGCTTATTCAGCCTTGTAAAACCTTGTGGTCTAGTATGATGTTACAGAAGCTTGTGGCTCTACTGTTGCTTATTTCTTCAAGTGTTACCTTGAACTTTCAAATACCATGTATGTAGTGGTAGATCTAAAATTTGCTACAAGAATTTTTCTCTGATTTTAGACAAATGCTGTCATATTGAACAGTTTTTCAGCCATTTCTTGAAGTAGTGTTGTTAAGTTTCATATGCAGTAAGTATTTTTCTCTATATGTTTTCTAAATAGTGTTTGGCACAGTATTAATGTACTGTTGTGGCTGCAATGTTGAAAATGTAAGTTGGACCTTGTGTTTGGACAATTGTAGTGTAACATTGTGTAATTCAATGCACATGCAGATCGAGAAACATCTCTTACCATTTTACTTTTTTTAGTTTATGAGAGACAGGCTAAGATTTGTATAGGTGAGCTACAGAGACTTACATTTTATAACCTGGCAGTCCTAAACAATACATAAATCCGATACTGCTACACTATTGGAGGTACACCTAAATCATGAGCATAGGCCCCATGATTAGCTCTATTTACATAGTTGTTTGGATGAAATATCTATTTGTCACATTGTTGACTGGCTACAGCTGTTGCGTCATACATCAATAAATAGACTTAGTGTTCTGTTCATTTCCACAGATAGTGGCCCAGGTGTGTATTATCTATTTATTAGTAGAATGTGTGCAGTTACAATTTCCTGTTTCACACTTAAGAATATTTTGCAGTTTTCCAACTAGCAATTTCTTTCTCTAACACAACATCATGTCGCCCCATTGTGTCCCAGGCGTTGTCCCTGTCACACACAGGAGTCTGGATGGCAAATGTCCAGGCAGATTAGCAGACTTCTTGTTCACATTGGTTTACTAATTCACCAACTGATCATGGAAACAATTATGATTTTGAGAACAATCTTTTCTTTCTTCATGCTGAGTCTGTTTACTGTCAAAAACGGACAATAGAGGAAAAGAAGTCGCCCTTTGACTAAAACATCTTTTCTTCTCTTAAGAAAACCATGGTTGTGTAATGGCATGATGTGTAGTCCCATCATCTCCCTGTCCTGCCATCTGTCCTATATGTCATCTCAAACAGAGACTCATTCAAATTTTTCCACATGTGAAAACTAACCTGTAGCATACCAGAGTGTTATACGTTTTAATATGTTTATTTTATATATATATAATGTTAAAGCAACAACTAAAATAACAAGATGTAAGAATATTTTATTGAAGGATTCACTGAAAAAAATACACACTTAATCCTTAAAATCAAATTCGACAACAAAAACGTGTTATCAACAATGGTTTATCAAAATCAATTATATAAATCAAAACAAACAGCTATGATGAGATTGTTCCACACTCCAGGTGTAGGAATACATACTGTGGTGTGACATGAATCAAATTTAAGTTTAGTTTTCTGAGAACTGGAAGATATACATGTAGTCAGAGAATTATGAGTTAGAAATGAAATCTGAAGACATGAAGTTTGTGGAACTGAGATGCCGGTGTTTGAGCAGTGAGTGTGGAAGATTGCGGTACATGTATTTATTTGTTGGTTTGTGTGAAACCGAAATAAGGTGTCACTAGGCCTGATAACTTTATGATGATACAGGTGTGCAGAATGGGAATTCATGCAACTGTAACAATTCTTGGAATTCCCTGACATTCCATACGTAGTGATGAAAGTACTCTGCTTCCATGGGCCCATTTTCTTTATAAACATTGGGAGATTGAAGCAATAACATGTGAACAATTCATCAAATCAGGATGCCGGAGTTACAATTAACACAACAAAAGTTTGATTATTCCTGTGACAAAAATTTCTTCTGATTATTGTGTTCAAATTCTTTTGAGTTATGATACTGGGTATTTTTTAACTCAATCACCTGTAGATGACAGGAGCAGTATGGACAGCTAAATATAGGTGTGTATATAGAATGAAAGTTTCAACAATATTACAGTGTTCAAGCTGAAACTTTCTCTAGATGGTAATAATTACTTATGTTACCACATAATAAGAATAAGACACTGAGATAAGTCTGTCCTCTCACATCAATCAGACCACATTATTCAGCCACACCTTCATTACATGCTGGCCAAAGAATCACAACATAACATAAGGCTCATTTGGTGAGCCACAGTGCCTGGGCGCTATTCTATGGACTCTTCAGGGAAATATGCAATGTCTCCATATTATGATCCACTTTGCAGCTCCAGAGATACGATAAAGTGGAGACAATTAGGAGATAAACCTACTGAGTTTTGAAATTTGAGGTCATCAATAACTCTTAAATTTTAAACTTATCCTATGTCACACAATGCATACCTTTCCTCCTCGATCCTATGTGGAAACAAGCTTGAACTTTGTTTCCAGCATTTATAAACAAAAACATTCATTTGTACACACCCCAGCATCTCTATGGTTACGACCAACAACTGTATCAATTACATGCTCTCATGCACAATAACCTTCCACGCTTTGACCACATACGTCTCTCTAGCAACTCATTCTATTTCAAATTTTTTAAGGTAAATTATTGAGGTTTGAGACATCTACAACATTGGGAAGAAGGACAAACTCTGTACGGCTTGTGCTAAATGCCAACGCACATATTCAACATCAGACCCGCACAAATTGTGCTGTGATTGTTGTGGCTAGTGTACTTTGGAATGTCATTCCTTAGAAGATTCTGCATCCTGTGACTATGTCCAGAGATGCCGTAGATTAATGCTAGACAGCAGATCTAAGACTGAAGACTGGCAAATCATCGTCGAAGAAAATGCAAGTCTCGTAGTCAAATCATTTAGAAGAGTCCTTATTCTCAATTACAGACGACACTGTCTAGTTTTTTAATGAAGGTTGTTTCCTACCTTGTGGGGCATGGGTGGCCCAGTCGTCTAAGGCGCCGCGATTTGCTGTGTAGAGTTGCGTCCCTTGGGCACACCAGAAACCCATGATTGTGGGTTCGAATCCCGTTTTCGCCCCGATTATGATTCTAGGTTTGTTAGCACCATACCTGTGCACGTGGGTTTCACCGAAGTGCTTTCCTCCCACATTAAGCTGACATACCATGATATAACTGTACCACTGTTAAAAGCGGCGTTAAACCCAACTCACTCACTCACTCCTACCTTGTGATTAAGACTCTCTCTTGTCACCAGCCTACTTGGTAGACACTTTTGAACCCGCCAACCCTTGCAGTGCCATCAGGCAGCTCCTCCAACATTACACTCCCACCCAGACTGGTATTGTTGGACATTTCCTGTAACCTTGATACAGCTTTGCTTCTTTTCCTGTTGACGTGACAGACTTCATGGACATTGTTTCATCTTGGAGGATACCCGCTCTCATGGGATGCCGGCCCTGGTAACATCCCCCATGATTATTAGTGATGCCATGGAGGATCGTGACCTAACAGGTGGACAGCTGTACACTACCACTTGTGTCAACAATTTCATTGGTAAAAAAGGCACTTTCCGCTTCCCTTTCCAGTCACTCTCAGGATGATGCCTTTGTCAGAGGAGTTGTACTCCTTATCCAGGATAAACTTACAAACGTTCTAGTCTTCTCGCCCATCATGCTGGTTCTGTGACAGCCTTTCGCCACAATGGCATCCTCCAGCATTGCTCTTGGGATGATCAGTTTAAGGCTAAACTCTGTCAACAACCATGGGCTGCACATACTCTTTTCATCTCTGCTATCGAACTGGTCGCACGAGAGATACAGAAGGACACCAGTCTCCAAGTGACTGTCCTGGGACTCCAGAAATGCCAACTAGAAGATCGAGAGAAAAGGAATGTAACCATCCACAGTTAACTTGATCCAAGGGCTCCGCAGAGTCTTCCAGAGTACCGATCCCGTGGGAGGGAGTCAATGCATACATATTTTGCCCAGTTCTTCCCCAGGTCCAACAGAAGTAAGAAGCCACCAGTCTCTGATCTCTGACTTTGGTCGCGTCCTATTGGCCCCCACACAAAAGGCAACTCCAAGCGGGTAGCGATGACTATCACTGCAGCTCATCATTCATAATTTATGACTACAAGTGGACAGCATTCAAGAAATCTTGTTGCGCTTGTGACATTTCCTCTCCTACCTCGGCTTCACGTGCGATCTACATGTAAGCTTAAGGGCTCCATTCTTAGCAGCAATTAACATTATTGCTATTACTTCCAGTGCAAAAGTCTCCAATGTTGCAGAACTCCAGTTGCTCATCTGCCCACTTAGGCTAGCAGACTGATCCTTGCATTCAGGCCACCTTTGTGGGACCCAACGTGATCCTGCAACACCTGACTTCCAATGTTTATGAGCCACTGACGGATAAAGATTTTGATTTCATCACCTCCAGTTAATGAGATACATGCTCTAGGAAGGGCGTTCCTAGGCCTTTGTTAGGAATTCCTAGCAAAGAATCAACTTCCAGACCAACCTGATCAGTGATTTATGATTTCCCCGCACTCGTCGATCTTGGTATGACCAGGAAGATCTCTCCCTCTTTCAACTTCAGGCGCGTCATCTCTATTTGACTCCTTCTTTGACTATTAGAATTTCATGGAAGGGACTTTTCATTATCAATAATATTAATAACTTCTGTCTTGGAGATTTCCTGTATTACACTCTCTTATTGGCTCCGCTCCATCATCCTTCTAGTGTAAACATTTGCTGGACTGCCATCGCCTGCAAGGACCAACCCGCACGAAACTCAAGCGGTTGCTTACACCATGGTCTTACACAGGAATTGCACCCTCTCAGCCATCATGGAAGGGTGCTCCTGGAAGTCAGAGACAAGGTTTTCGCCTCTCATTACCTTCGCGATATCTCAGTCACGGATATACAAGGTCTCCACAAGTTCGGCTCTTTGATCTTGGCGCAACAACTGTTACATTTCAATAAACACAGATGAAAAACATTATGTACACATGGTTCTCACTCAGTCTTAAGATTGAATATATGCATAATAATTCTTGGTGTTGAATGTTTTATTGATTTTTCTGGTTTCCCAGAGGATTAACTTGCCTGAAGAGACTATTAAGTCTGCAACATCGAACTTCTACCACATCGCATTACTAAAACTAGAACGGTGTCTCAAAACTTTATTCCGCTCACCACTGCCTCGAGTGTTTGTGATGCAGGATATCGGTTCAAAGATCCTCTTGTGGATAATGTTGATCATTCCTCTTCACATCCTGGATGGCTCATGCACTCAAATTTGTTTGAAGAATCGATACTGGTAGAAAAAACCATGGTCGATTAAAGTCCTCAGCTGTTTTATCTATGTGTTTACAGATACATCATTCTATGAATAACAACATACATGAAAACACATTCGGCATGTATTCCCGATCTCATGCTGTTTCTTTCGATTAACATATCGGGATCATCAACACGGATTGATTGTGAGGTTTTTTTCGCTCACAAGTTCATCCATCTATTTGTGTATTCTCATGGTTCTAGTCTATACAGGCTAGGGTATCTGCGGCCCACCATCCAGCCATGGGATTAAATGCATAGTACGAGAAGAAAGAAGATATGCATAGTGTGAGATTTTAATTTGGAACCAAGTGCTTTAGCAACATTCAGTGAGCAGCAGGCAATGTTGGATTGTAGAAGTATTGTAACATACTGATAAATGAGTTCTTAGTCTGAAATGAGAAGGTTACATCCAACTCATATGAAGTAGGGGATTGAATTAGGCATACTTGGTGACAGTATTTGATCAAATGTAGCGTACACTCATGTAATATTTAACATGTGACATGCTTGTGAGTTGTGGAACACATGGTTCCTACATCAGATAGCCACAACTGTGCACAGGATCAGGTTCAAGTCAGTTTCAATGCCTACATTTCAAGAAAACATAAACCCAAAGAAAGATATGAGCAATCCTGGACCCACAGAGTAAGACATGTTGGCAGAGGGTATTCTCATCATGACTTGTCTTTTTAGCTTTGAAAACATTCATATCTTTTTAGCATCTCTTTATCCTACCTATTTTCAGAAATGTGGTGTTATATCTAAATGTAGATATAAAACTTACATGCACAATCCTAACATGTTTCCACCACAAAGTGAAATGTTTCCAGCACTTCTTTTGCTGTTCTTTGATGTAAAATACTAACTATAGAATTTCTGATAACTGCACATGAGCATGTTTGAAGTGAATGGTAAGAGTTTTGCACAATGGCATCCTCAGCCTTCAGACTTGCATGCAGCTTCTCCTGTCTCCCAGTAGAAGATCACTGAATAATCAAATTCTAGCTCTTTCCTGTTGGTTGCCTGGGGTAGAACCCCTTAACATTATATGAATGTCAATATAAAACTGAAAATACTTTCATGTCTGAACATTTTAACAACTCCTAGATCAAATGTTTTGGTTTCTAAAAGTGACTCTTTCTGATGTGTATGTGAGGACAACCTGAAAGGCCACAGATGACTATCATATGGGAGCTTGTTAACATGTTGGTGTGTCAGATGTAATTTGGAGCTTGTTAACATGTTGGTGTGTCAGATGTAATTTGGAGCTTGTTAACATGTTGGTGTGTCAGATGTAATTTGGAGCTTGTTAACATGTTGGTGTGTCAGATGTAATTTGGAGCTTGTTAACATGTTGGTGTGTCAGATGTAATTTGGAGCTTGTTCATATGTTGGTGTGTCAGATGCAATGGGAGCTTGTTAACATGTTGGTGTGTCAGATGCAATGTCTGTTTCTGCTCATACTTCCATCTCCTATGTGCAACTGGGACATTCATACTGAGTTGCCCGCCACTCAGTCTTGCTGCTCAGTTTGTGGTGGCCATTTTAGCTGGCTTGAAAAAGCCAGTATCATATTTCTAAACAAGAACAAATTATGACATGTCAATTTCTAGGCTTAATCAGAACAGCAAGAGAAAAGAGTTTGATTGTGTGTAGTGGCCCGCCGGCATGCAGTGACTGCAGCATTACTCGCTCATCCTTCTTAGTTTGACGTGCCAGTGAGATGTATTTTCTTTCATGTAATGATTTGTCTTGTATTTGAATTGGCATGTTTTTATGCATCTTTTAAGAGATGTAGTTTGATAATCCAGATTGTTAGGAATGTGTTGTAATTGCATGAGGACCAGACCTGGAACCACAGGAATACATTAATAGGTGATGATTGTCTGTCAGGTAGGAGTGGTTCACTTAATATCTAACCCCCATCTTTCCTTACATGTGTTCCTTACCATGTATGTACACACCTGCAGGCCACATGTCGCTGCACAAATGTACTTTACTGACAATGTGGATTGTCTCCCTTACAGGAAGTGCAGCTGATGTGTGTGAGGTTTTGGCCAGGGATGAGATCCTGTCCATCAACAAATGTGATATTTCCAGCCGGACCAATGTTGAGGTGTCCCAGCTGATTCAAGGTGCAGTCAAGACAGGCCAGCTGGAGCTCAGGGTGAAGCGCTTCCTTGGGAGCAATGGTAAACATGCAGCACAATTCTTTGCATGCGCTACTTTTGCTTTTGTCAGATAATGCATGACCAAATATGTTTCAGTTTTCGATATTTTATTTTCAGAGAAGTACTCTAGAAACACTAAATTTCAATAACAATAACTAGAATGAACACTGTGATGTGGATACTTAGTCTTGATACATTCTGTACTTTATGAACCCTCTATACAAACAAATTTTTAATGTTTGAACATGCCTTTTACTGTTTCAGATGAAGAAGATGAATTTTTATCTAGTGATGATGAGTTTGAGTCGATGGAGCGATCCCGGAGTAGCGCAGTCCATGGAGAGGACCCCAAACATGAGGGTAACACCTCCTACGACAGCAGAGACTCAACAACATCTCAGGTACACAAACACAGACCAGATAATTTTTTTCTTGTTATCTCTATGCCTCTATTGCATGTAATTAGTTACAAGGTCAGTCTTTCCCCTATCTGTCATCATTTTCAGAAATGCTCACAAGTGATTATGATTTTTCTCATTAGCGTGAACATGATTGATTTACACATTGCAGGAAGATTTCCGTGCAGCAGTGAACAAGAACCCAGTGGCCAGTGCTCTAGATGAGGAGAGACAGTGGATCATGGACCAGCTGGACTATGGACACCCCACACCACAGGATGAGGTGCAGGAACCAACAGCCAGACACCATCTGTACAAGGTAGGGGATAGAGGGTCAGATATGCGCCATCTGTACAAGGTAGGAAATAAAGGGGTACCATCTGTACAAGGTAAGGGATAGAGGGTCATCTGTACAAGGTAGGGGGTGAGGGGGTCAGATAGGCACCATCTGTACAAGGTAGGGAATAGAGGGTCATCTGTACAAGGTAGGGGGTGAGGGGTCAGATAGGCAACATCTGTACAAGGTAAGGGATAGAGGGGTCAGATAGACACCATCTGTGCAAGGTAAGGGATTGAGGGGTCAGATAGGCAACATCTGTACAAGGTAGGAGATAGAGGGGTCAGATAGACACCATCTGTACAAGGTAAGGGATAGAGGGGTCAGATAGACACCATCTGTGCAAGGTAGGGGATAGAGGGGTCAGATAGGCAACATCTGTACAAGGTAGGAGATAGAGGGGTCAGATAGACACCATCTGTACAAGGTAAGGGATAGAGGGGTCAGATAGACACCATCTGTGCAAGGTAGGGAATAGACGGTCATCTGTACAAGGTAGGAGATAGAGGGGTCAGATGGGCAACATCTGTACAAGGTAGGGGATAGAGGGGTCAGATAGGCAACATCTGTACAAGGTAGGAGATAGAGGGGTCAGATAGGCAACATCTGTACAAGGTAGGAGATAGAGGGGTCAGATAGACACCATCTGTGCAAGGTAGGGAATAGACGGTCATCTGTACAAGGTAGGAGATAGAGGGGTCAGATAGGCAACATCTGTACAAGGTAGGAGATAGAGGGGTCAGATAGGCAACATCTGTACAAGGTAGGAGATAGAGGGGTCAGATAGGCAACATCTGTACAAGGTAGGGGATAGAGGGGTCAGATAGGCAACATCTGTACAAGGTAGGAGATAGAGGGGTCAGATAGGCAACATCTGTACAAGGTTGGAGATAGAGGGGTCAGATAGACACCATCTGTACAAGCTAAGGGATAGAGGGGTCAGATAGACACCATCTGTGCAAGGTAGGGAATAGACGGTCATCTGTACAAGGTAGGAGATAGAGGGGTCAGATAGGCAACATCTGTACAAGGTAGGGGATAGAGGGGTCAGATAGGCAACATCTGTACAAGGTAGGAGATAGAGGGGTCAGATAGGCAACATCTGTACAAGGTAGGAGATAGAGGGGTCAGATAGACACCATCTGTGCAAGCTAAGGGATAGAGGGGTCAGATAGACACCATCTGTGCAAGGTAGGGAATAGACGGTCATCTGTACAAGGTAGGAGATAGAGGGGTCAAATAGGCAACATCTGTACAAGGTAGGGGATAGAGGGGTCAGATAGGCAACATCTGTACAAGGTAGGAGATAGAGGGGTCAGATAGGCAACATCTGTACAAGGTAAGAGATAGAGGGGTCAGATAGGCAACATCTGTACAAGGTAGGAGATAAAGGGGTCAGATAGGCAACATCTGTACAAGGTAAGGGATAGAGGGGTCAGATAGACACCATCTGTGCAAGGTAAGGGAATAGACGGTCATCTGTACAAGGTAAGGGATAGAGGGGTCAGATAGACACCATCTGTGCAAGGTAGGGAATAGACGGTCATCTGTACAAGGTAGGAGATAGAGGGGTCAGATAGGCAACATCTGTACAAGGTAAGGGATAGAGGGGTCAGATAGACACCATCTGTGCAAGGTAGGGAATAGACGGTCATCTGTACAAGGTAAGGGATAGAGGGGTCAGATAGACACCATCTGTGCAAGGTAGGGAATAGACGGTCATCTGTACAAGGTAGGGGGTGAGGGGGTCAGATAGGCACCATCTGTACAAGGTAGGGGATAGAGGGGTCAGATAGGCACAATATGTACAAGGTAGGAGATAGAGGGGTCAGATAGGCAACATCTGTACAAGGGAGGGAATAGATGGGTCAGATAGGCAACATCTGTACAAGGTAGGGAATATAAGGGTCAGATGGACACCATCTGTAAAAGGTAGGGAATAGAGGGTCAGATAGGCAACATCTGTGCGAGGTAGGGAAAAGAGGGTCAGATAAGCAACATCTGTACAAGGTAGGGGATTGAGGGTCAGATAGGCAACATCTGTACCAGGTATGGAATATAGGGGTCAGATAGGCGCCATCTGTACAAGGTAAGGGATTGAGGGGTCAGATAGGCAACATCTGTACAAGGTAGGAGATAGAGGGGTCAGATAGGCAACATCTGTACAAGGTAGGAGATAGAGGGGTCAGATAGGCAACATCTGTACAAGGTAGGGGATAGATGGGTCAGATAGGCAACATCTGTACAAGGTAGGGAATATAAGGGTCAGATGGACACCATCTGTAAAAGGTAGGGAATAGAGGGTCAGATAGGCAACATCTGTCCGAGGTAGGGAAAAGAGGGTCAGATAGGCAACATCTGTACAAGGTAGGGGATTGAGGGTCAGATAGGCAACATCTGTACCAGGTATGGAATATAGGGGTCAGATAGGCGCCATCTGTACAAGGTAAGGGATAGATGGGTCAGATAGGCAACATCTGTGCGAGGTAGGGAAAAGAGGGTCAGATAGGCAACATCTGTAGAAGGTAGGGGATAGAGGGGTCAGATAGGCAACATCTGTACAAGGTAGGAGATAGGGGGGTCAGATAGGCAACATCTGTACAAGGTAGGGGATATAGGGGTCAGATAGATGTCATCTGTATAAGGTAGGGAAAAAAGGGGGGCAGATAGACACCATCTTTGAAAGGAAGGGCATAGAGGGGTCAGATAGACACCATCTGTACAAGGTAGGGAATAGAGGGTCAGATAGGCATCATCTTTACAAGGTAGGGGATAGAGGGTCAGATAGACACCATCTGTACAAGGTAGGGGATATAGGGGTCAGATAGACGTCATCTGTACAAGGTAGGGAATAGAGGGTCAGATAGGCATCATCTGTACAAGGTAGGGGATAGAGGGGTCAGATAGGCACCATATGTACAAGGTAGGGAATAGAGGGTCAGATAGACACCATCTGTACAAGGTAGGGGAATAGAGGGTCAGATAGGCAACATCTATACAAGGTAGGGAATAGAGGGTCAGATAGGCATCATCTGTACAAGGTAGGGGATAGAGGGTCAGATAGAAACCATCTGTACAAGGTAGGGGATATAGGGGTCAGATAGACGTCATCTGTACAAGGTAGGGCATAGAGTGTCAGATAGGCATCATCTGTACAAGGTAGGGGATAGAGGGGTCAGATAGGCACCATATGTACAAGCTAGGAAATAGATGGGTCAGATAGACACCACCTGTACAAGGTAGGGGAATAGAGGGGTCAGATAGGCAACATCTGTACAAGGTAGGGAAATAGAGGGGGTCAGATAGATGCCATCTGTACAAGGAAGGGGATAGACGGGTCAGATAGTCACCATCTGTACAAGGTAGGGAAAAGACGGGGTCAGATAGATGCCATCCGTAGTATTGTGGGGAGTTAACACATCAGACAAATATTCCTCCAGTAACTTCCACAGCTCTGCCCTTGTCACCAGTTACTGTTATGAATGTTTTGTTGGTAATTGGACATCCAGTAATTAATTTCAAACAAACTGGTTTTAGTTTTAACTCTCAGTCATTCCTGCAATAGTACAGTCTCTTTGGCCACAGATCCCCAGGATACTAATTGTGGAAGTTTTCAACATAGTGTACTGTCTTTGTCAGGATCAAGAGCGTGAGAGTTTTGAGCCCATCCATCAGGAGTCCTCCAGCCCACGCCAGCTGGCCTCTGAGCCATACACAAGCCCCACCAGAGCAGAGGAGGTCCTGACCCGGCCCACCATCACAATGAGACGCGAGACGGGGACACGGGGGAGTGGACAAACAACCCCGGACCCCAGGCCTGCAGCCGAATGTAGGTGCACAACACATGCAGACATGGGAGTAAGGCTGTATATTATTTTGCCCTTATTGAAGATGCATGTGCTTCACAAGTGAAGAGAATTATTTACTGGGACAATTTTGATCTCACTGACCTCTTCAGCAGTCACCACCCTGCTCCCTTTATGATGAGCACAACAGGTTAATGACTGATGGGATTTAACCTGATGACTATAAGTATTTAGTTTACATTGATGCCCAATGGCTAACCCTTTGTAAGTGTCAATTGGGGGAATTTTTCCAAAGAATACATTATTTCATGCATTCTAGCAGCTATATTTGCATTAGATGAATGATGTACTGAAATTGTTTTTGTCCTTGACAGTTGACACCCACTATGAGATGGAGAAACGAAGCCAGCATCAGGCGGGGCCACACGGTGCTGGGGCAGATGATGTTGGTCCACCAGCAATCTTGAGGAAGTGGCAGAGACAGAGACCACAATCAGAGTACACCTTTGAGAGAGAGAAATCACCTGACAAGCATCTCAGTTCTACATTGCCATGGATGGAAAACAAATTGGCAGCAAATGATCCCAAGGATGATCTAGTTCTGGAGAGAACAGTGAGGGACTATGCATCCTCTCAGCCAGAACCACCGGTCCCATCACCACGGCGACGATTTGAAGACCACAAAAAGCAAGAAGAGTGGAACCAGAAGCAGGAAGACTTGAGACAGGTTGGACACACACAACACTTAACTGGATCCTGCCTTTGCATGATGTGTTGACCTATTGCATTAATTGTTTGTGAATCAGGCGATTATTATTTTATGTGTTGAATCACGGTTCTGTCGACCCTATTTTGTTCAAAATTATTTTGAGATGACTCATTGTTTATGATGATCAATTTGACATTAATATTTTGCAACATGTTCAGTCAAAGGGTTTAGGCGAAATGCCTAACAAATATAGAGTTATGTCCAGTGTTTTTGATATACAGACTTTGCCAAAATTAACTCCTTTTGTCTTGTGAGCAAAAACGAAGGTTCCAGCAGATGATTGCGCTGAAGATGGCATATTAAAAATTTGTCCTAACATCCGTGCCAGAGCTAATCAACATGGCATGGTGTCAGGTTTTTTATTCTATCCTCTGACTTCTGTCTTTGACAATACAAATCCTTGATCCAACAAGTAGAAACAAATCGCCTCAGAAAGCATGTAAATACTTTTGTTTAGTAGATATAGCGTTTTTGGCTGGATCCCATGTTCCCTAAAAAATCTCACACAGGAACTCCAAGTGAGGTATTTGATTATTTTTATCCTGATACTGCCCCTTAGTTGCTGTGTTTCAAGCATGCACATGTTTGCAGTAGCCTTGTTTTAGTTTTTGTTCCTATTGCAAGCTAACCCCAACACCCGGCCTGATGCGAGCATGTACCATTTTTGGGTAACTTCCCCTGACTGGAAACCCATTTGGGTGTTGAGTGCGTGGCAGATGTTCGCACAAGTCACAGCACAGAGGTTATTTCTGTTTGATTGTCAATGTAAATGTGTTGTTGATTTCTCTGCTGTGAACTCTGACCTAGGTGACACTGTGGTCCTAGCTCTGCAACTATCAATCATGACAAATGCAATATTCTATTGTCACAGTTTCGGAGTTACCAACCAGTTGCAGTGCTATGATGACTGTAGTCTTTACTAATGACTGGCTTGTGGGAATGAGTTTGTACTAACCTCCTGTTGTTTTGCAGCAACCTGACTCCAACCAGAGAGAGGTGGAAGTCACAAAGGTAAACTCTTGGACATTGGACCAAATAAACAAAAAACATGTATAAACAGGAAATAGTATTAAGCTATAAATATATGTTGGTGAATCTCAAATGCTTTAGGCTAGGCTGGAGGATCACAAATACAGGGAATTATTAGTGTGTTGGGATGGGCCCAGCTAGGCTAGAGGATCACCAATTCAGGGAATTAGCAGTGTGTTGGGATGAGCCCAGCTAGGCTTAAGGATCACACATACAGGGAATTACCTGTGTGTGTGTTGGGATGGGCCGGCTAGGCTAGAGGATCACAAATACAGGGAATTAGCTGTGTGTTGGGATGGGCCTGGCTAGGCTAGAGGATCACAAATACTGGGAATTAGCTGTGTGTTGGGATGAGCCCAGCTAGGCTTAAGGATCACACATACAGGGAATTAGTAGTGTGTTGGGATGGGCCCAGCTAGGTGAGAGGATCACAAATACAGGGAATTAGGAGTGTGTTTGGATGGGCCCAGCTAGGCTTAAGGATCACAAATACAGGGACTTAGCTGTCTGTGTGTTGGGATGGGCCCCGCTAGGCTAGAGGATCACAAATACAGGGAATTATCAGTGTGTTGGGATGAGCCCAGCTAGGCTAGAGGATCACAAATACAGGGAATTATCAGTGTGTTGAGATGAGCCCAGCTAGGCTAGAGGATCACAAATACAGGGAATTATCAGTGTGTTGGGATGGGCCCAGCTAGGCTAGAGGATCACAAATTCAGGGAATTAGCAATGTGTTGGGATGAGCCCAGCTAGGCTTAAGGATCACACATACAGGGAATTAGCTGTTTGTGTGTTGGGATGGGCCCAGCTAGGCTGGAGGATCACTAATACAGGGAATTATTAGTGTGTTGGGATGGGCCCAGCTAGGCTAGAGGATCACCAATTCAGGGAATTAGCAATGTGTTGGGATGAGCCCAGCTAGGCTTAAGGATCACACATACAGGGAATTAGCTGTTTGTGTGTTGGGATGGGCCCAGCTAGGCTGGAGGATCACTAATACAGGGAATTATTAGTGTGTTGGGATGGGCCCAGCTAGGCTAGAGGATCACCAATTCAGGGAATTAGCAGTGTGTTGGGATGAGCCCAGCTAGGCTTAAGGATCACACATACAGGGAATTAGCTGTGTGTGTGTTGGGATGGGCCCAGCTAGGCTAGAGGATCACAAATACAGGGAATTATCAGTGTGTTGGGATGGGCCCAGCTAGGCTAGAGGATCACAAATTCAGGGAATTAGAAGTGTGTTGGGATGAGCCCAGCTAGGCTTAAGGATCACACATACAGGGAATTAGCTGTGTGTGTGTTGGGATGGGCCACCTAGGCTAGAGGATCACAAATACAGGGAATTATTAGTGTGTTGGGATGAGCCCAGCTAGGCTTAAGGATCACACATACAGGGAATTAGCTGTGTGTGTGTTGGGATGGGCCACCTAGGCTAGAGGATCACAAATACAGGGAATTAGCTGTGTGTTGGGATGAGCCCAGCTAGGCTTAAGGATAACACATACAGGGAATTAGCTGTGTGTGTGTTGGGATGGGCCCAGCTAGGCCAGAGGATCACTAATACAGGGAATTAGCTATGTGGGGGGGATGGGCCCAGCTAGGCCAGAGGATCACACATACAGGGAATAAGCTGTGTGTGTGTCGGGATGGGCCCATCTAGGCTAGAGGATCACAAATACAGGGAATTAGCTGTGTGTGTGTGTTGGGATGGGCCCAGCTAGGGCAGGGGATCACACATACAGTGAATTTGCTATGTGGGGGGATGGGCCCAGCTGGGGCAGGGGATCACACATACAGGGAACTAGCAGTGTGTGTGTTGGGATGGGCCCAGCTAGGGCAGGGGATCACACATACAGGGAATTAGCTATGTTGGGGAAGGGCCCAGCTAGGGCAGGGAATCAGACATACAGGGAATTAGCTATGTGGGGGCATGGGCCCAGCAAGGGCAGGGGATCACACATACAGGGAATTAGCTATGTTGGGGGATGGGCCCAGCTAGGGCAGGGGATCACACATACAGGGAATTAGCTATGTTGGGGGGTGGGGCGGGCCAAGCTAGGGCAGGGGATCACACATACAGGGAATTAGCTATGTTGGGGGATGGGCCCAGCTAGGGCAGCGGATCACACATACAGGGAATTAGCTATGTTGGGGGGTGGGGCGGGCCAAGCTAGGGCAGGGACACACATACAGGGAATTAGCTATGTGGGGGATGGGCCCAGCTAGGGCAGGGGATCACGCATACCAAGATTTAGCTATGTGGGGGGGGGGGATGGGCCCAGCTGGGGAAGGAGATCACACATACAGGGAATTAGCTATGTGGGGGGGATGGGCTCAGCTAGGGCAGGGGATCACACATACAGGGAATTAGCTATGTGGGGGGGATGGGCCCAGCTGGGGAAGGAGATCACACATACAGGGAATTAGCTATGTGGGGGGGATGGGCCCAGCTAGGGCAGGGGATCACACATACAGGGAATAAGCTATGTGTGGGGTTGGGGGGATGGGTCGGGCCCAGCTAGGGCAGGGGATCACACCTACAGGGAATTAGCTATGTGAGGGGGATGGGCCCAGCTAGGCCAGAGGATCACACATACAGGGAATAAGCTGTGTGTGTGTCGGGATGGACCCATCTAGGCTAGAGGATCACAAATACAGGGAATTAGCTGTGTGTGTGTTGGGATGGGCCCAGCTAGGGCAGGGGATCACACATACAGTGAATTAGCTATGTGGGGGGATGGGCCATGGTGGGGCAGGGGATCACACATACAGGGAATTAGCTATGTTGGGGGGTGGGGTGGGCCAAGCTCGGGCAGGGGATCACAAATACAGGGAACTAGCAGTGTGTGTGTTGGGATGGGCCCAGCTAGGGCAGGGGATCACACATACAGGGAATTAGCTATGTGGGGGAAGGGCCCAGCTAGGGCAGGGGATCACACATACAGGGAATTAGCTATGTGGGGGGGATGGGCCCAGCAAGGGCAGGGGATCACACATACAGGGAATTAGCTATGTTGGGGAATGGGCCCAGCTAGGGCAGGGGATCACACATACAGGGAATTAGCTATGTGGGGGGGATGGGCCCAGCAAGGGCAGGGGATCACACATACAGGGAATTAGCTATGTTGGGGAATGGGCCCAGCTAGGGCAGGGGATCACACATACAGGGAATTAGCTATGTGGGGGAAGGGCCCAGCTAGGGCAGGGGATCACACATACAGGGAATTAGCTATGTGGGGGGGATGGGCCCAGCAAGGGCAGGGGATCACACATACAGGGAATTAGCTATGTTGGGGAATGGGCCCAGCTAGGGCAGGGGATCACACATACAGGGAATTAGCTATGTTGGGGAATGGGCCCAGCTAGGGCAGGGGATCACACATACAGGGAATTAGCTATGTGGGGGGTTGGCCAGGCTAGGGCAGGGGATCACACATACAGGGAATTAGCTATGTGGGGGGATGGGCCCAGCTAGGGCAGGGGATCACACATACAGGGAATTAGCTATGTGGGGGGATGGGCCCAGCTAGGGTAGGGGATCACACATACAGGGAATTAGCTATGTGGGGGATGGGCCAAGCAGGGGAAGGGGATCACACATACAGGGAATTAGCTGTTTTTGTGTTGGGATGGGCCCAGCTAGGGCAGGGGATCACACATACAGGGAATTAGCTGTGTTTGTGTTGGGATGGGCCCAGCTAGGGCAGGGGATCACACATACAGGGAATTAGCTGTGTTTGTGTTGGGATGGGCCCAGCTAGGGCAGGGGATCACACATACAGGGAATTAGCTGTGTTTGTGTTGGGATGGGCCCAGCTAGGGCAGGGGATCACAAATACATGGAATAAGCTATGTGGGGGATGGGCCCAGCTAGGGCAGGAGATCACACATACCAAGATTGAGCTGGGGGGGGGGGGGGGGGCAGCTAGGGCAGGGGATCACACATACAGGGAATTAGCTATGTGGGGGGGATGGGCACAGCTGGGGCAGGGGATCACACATACAGGGAATAAGCTTTGTGTCGGGTGGGGGGGGTGGGTCGGGCCAAGCTAGGGCAGGGGATCACGCATACCAAGATTTAGCTATGTGGGGGGGATGGGCCCAGCTGGGGAAGGAGATCGCACATACAGGGAATTAGCTATGTGGGGGGGATGGGCTCAGCTAGGGCAGGGGATCACACATACAGGGAATTAGCTATGTGGGGGGGATGGGCCCAGCTGGGGAAGGAGATCACACATACAGGGAATTAGTTGTGTGGGGGGATGGGCCCAGCTAGGGCAGAGGATCACACTTTATGTACCAGGCATACATGTCACAATGAATGGGTATAAATCCCTCTGAAACATGCCTAAGAGAATAGTGAGGAAAACTGAGGAGGAGGAATACTTAACACGAAGAAAGACATACACAAAGTAACGTCTTGAACGGCCCTTGTTCTTTGAAGTACAACATTGCATCATTGTTTTTGTAAAATAATAAGAATTGTGCAGAATCGATAAATGGTGAATTCCAACAACTTGATCTAAGGATAATCAAGGAACTATTTCTTTCTGTAAATGTAATTCAAGTAAAATATAACAAAACTACCAGATATGTGTAGTCATAATTAGAAGTATGTGTTTCATTGGCATTTAAAGATAAATGTGACCACTAAGGTTGCAGGACCTGAAGAGAAGCTTTATAGGGTTCATGATGTATCTGTACTGTCCTGCTGTTGCCATGATGGTATGTCATGTTTTCCTTCAGGAGATATTTTCTGCCTCCCAGACAACCCTGCAGCAGGAATATGAGAGTGACATCAGACGAGCCCAGGAGATTGCTAAGCAGCGGGAAGAACAGGTAAACATTTGCCAAACATTCATCTCCCCTGTCAGTCATTTCAGTAACAGTTTACCGGGTGATTTATTTGATTGCTATTTGTTATATAATGGAAATCATGCTTTACTTAGTTTAAACAACCTTAAACCTAGACTGTGAGATGGTTTCATGACATACCTAATATATGTAGCTATGTTGACATGTTTCCTATTAAACCAAAGTACTTGCTGTCCTTCTTATCTCCTGTCTGGGTGGTCATGTGATTCCAGTCTGTGAGTGACTCTCTTGTGTGTGGTCTAGGAGCAGCAGATGTTGGAGCCAGAATTGCGGCGGATGCGAGTTACGGAGGAGCGGAGACAAGAGCGCAGGATGCGACAGCAGCAGTTACAGCAGTCAGCAGCGGAAACGAGTCCGGAGTACGTGCTGCGACACCAAGAGGACACTGTTCAGCCCTTCCAGCTCTATGAGCAGAACAGCAATACTGCTGACTCAGTGCCTGATGAAAAAACTAGGTCTACCATGTCATTCCAAATACAAGGTCAAGGGCAATCCCAGGGTCAAGGTCATCCAGGTGTGTTAGTGATTGACCCAAGGAACAGAGGTGATGAAGAGTGAGTATCTTATGCAAGTTATTGGACCAGTAATGGCAAGGAATGCATAGCATATATAGTTTTCCAATATTGTCTTTGATGACATTGTAATGTATCTGGTCAGTGGTCAGCATTTCATCCTTTAGTGAGTTTTTGGTGGGATGAAATCCATATATATTGATGTGATGATTTAGTGGAGAATACTTATGATTTATGTTATAGATAAAACACAAACTTGTGGTTTTACACATTCAACCTGAACTGAGGAGGAGTGTTTTGACTACCTTATTATAACCATCTCAATGCAAGAAATACCAGAAAGAATAACAAAAATATTGGGATAACTTATAGGGAAACAATACAGTCATGGTATTAAACGAAATCTATCAGCATGTGCAACAAGCAGACAACATCAGACATCTAGGATTGAACACCCTTTCATCGCCTGCTTTATGGCTCAGTGGGTAACAATACTAAACATGATTTGGGAGGTTGCAGTTTAGATTCACTTCATGAAATTTTCATGTAAAAAATAATCGTGACTTTCAACCAGTAAAAAATCAACATACTAGATGCATATAAAAGGATGTTTTTGAATCTTTGGTGATGTAACACTCTTCATTTTGGTCGAGGGCACTCTCCGGGAATGCTCTGGGCGTGGATACTTCAACTGAGTTTGTGTGCTTTTCACTATTTGAAGAAACCGCTAGAACGTCAGGATGACGTCACTATAAATTTATAAAAGTGTAAGCAACATGTTTGGATATTCCCTTGCATGTTCCAGTTCCCAGCCCGGCTACAACTTCCAGGTGAACATCAACCAGCCCGGGTTGTCCGAGGACATGTATGTCCACCCTACCCAGCAGGCAGCCACCTACCAACCACGTAAGATACATTGCAGCTCTTGTTTTGTGTGCTAGCTGAAGTCAGAAATCCATAACATTCAAAGAGGATTAAGAAACTAGATGAATTATGATATTTTTGAAATTTTCCTATCTCACTGTATGCATTACATACTTCTTTTGATCCCTTGTGTGGAAACGCCTTGAACAAAGTGTCCAGCTTCTAAGCTTCATTTGCCCAAACACCCCAGCATAACCATGGCGATCGTCCCAGCAATCAGGTCATGCACCCGAATCATGTGCTGCATGCTGACCTCGATCTGGCCACTTGACCTTTGTCTCATCGTGCTCTTTCTCTTCGCCTCCCTGTAGAGATGTGTTTTTTTTTAGAGAATATTTATGCCTTTATTTTTCTCAAAATTACGGGAGTTTGGGGCTCTTCTTACGCCTGAGATATGGGCATGGATCAAGCAAAGCAACCAGCTATGTATCGCCACATATTTTCACCTGCGGATCCTCATAAACTGTGTTGTGATTATCAGAGTGTATGGCAGCCAGGTTTACAGTGTTCTTAATGCACTCATCTGTCCGAGGAGGCATTCACCGATGGTCTTAAGAAATCCCAGAAGAGAGGCAATGATCACGGATCAAAATTTATAGATAAAGAACACGGACCCCCCTCGTCCAAGAAACCCAAGCGTGTGACAAAGACTAGCAGTCCTCCATCTGTAAAATCCGTGGTTAAGCAAACAACACTAGCCACGATCACTTCCCTCTCAGTGGAACAATACAGTATCAGACAGTTTTTTGCACAACAAAGTTACCACCATTTCTTCACAATACATCATCAATGATCCGCTGACTACGACAAACTTCCAGTCAACAAATACGTCAGACACACGTATGGGGCTGGCAGTAAATTTTAACCAGTCTACCGAGATATGTCCAACGACTCAGACCCACTCTATTGGAAGTCAATCATCAAATTCAGAGGTTGCAGTTCGACCAGTTGATCCAAATATCGTCTCTAGCAGTCAGAGAACGACAGTGGTGACAGGACATAGGAAGAGTAGAAAGCGATTTCGACCCAAGGAAGATCGAAATCGAGACATGGGATGCCATTCAGAGTCGACTTCGAAGGGTCGACATTCTACAGAGTGTACTTGACACTTGATGCCGAATATGAACCTGTGGCAGAAAAAGACTTTGAGCACATCACACTGAAGACAGTCTTTCTTCTAGCTTTGGCTACTTTTGCGAGGGTCAGCAAGACACACACCTTGGATGTAAACAGGATTCGATTCGAGAGGCACAGCCATTGCAAAGTCCATCTGGGTCTGCGATGGGACTTCATCACTAAGAACCAACTTCCAGGTCAACCCAACAGGCTATTTACCATCCTGGCTTTGGCCTTTATTCTACATCCCCAGGATCGCGAACTTTATGCTTATACCTACAATCCTCATCAAAACTTTGACGATCGCGGAAGAGATTGTTTATCCCCATCTCACAATTGGCTACCTCAGAGGTTTCCCGTACAGCGGTCTCCTTTTAGTTACGATCTACAATTTTGCCGGTTTCCCTCCACCTCAAACATCAAATCCACACGAGATAAGAGCTGTCGCCTCCACGATGGCACTGCATAATAACTGCTCCCTCAATGCTATCATGAAAGAATGTTTCTGGAAGTCTGATATAGTCTTCACCTCCCACTACTTACAAGATATCGCCATAACTTATGTCCAAGGGCTTCACCTTTTCGGTCTGCTAGTCCTGGCTCAACAATTAACAACAGCCAGTTAACAGAGTTAACAGATGCGAGTACCGCTCACTGTAGTCGCGTAAATCATATCGTGTATGTCCTGTATTCACACATTTATGCTCGGGAGTATGCACGCCAAACACAACAGAACATGGAAGGAAGCCATCCTAGTTTACTCAGACATTTGCATCCATACATGACGTCATCATATGACGTAACGAGATAATGTGTACTTGGATATTGCGGGAAACTGTATCACACAAGATGTAAACAACTATAAGGAGAATACACTACACTCCTCCCCTCTAAACATTTACCTTATGATTATATTAAAGATTAGAGTCCATCAATAATATTTGGATTGAATTAATTTTGTTAAGAAAAGATTCAATTTATAATTTTGTAATACATTTTCTATTTTAAAAGCTTAAGTTGTCTTTTTCTACTTCTCGGTCGAAAGTCATATTATTTCTTTTGTCGACAGAGAATCATCAATAAATTCTAACTATATCGATTGTTTCGGGTAGATAGTATTTTTTAACTCATTGTATTTCCGCCCGTGCGGCACGAGCACTTGATCACATGCTTTCCAACAGAAAGAGTCAAGCGAGCGAGCGAGAGAGAATGTAAAAAATATGGGAGGTTTACTCTTCAGGTAATTAATTGTACTTTATATTGTTTATTAATGCTTAGAGTAGCTTTTCATGTATTATTTCATGTAATTTAATATTTATGCATATTTGAAGGAAAAGTGTAGGATTTTGACAACTGTTGACTCATGGAACAGTCCATTATATTCTAGCGTAGGGATGTTTTCTTAAATGTACATTTATTAGAGCCAAAGTCACTCTATTTTCAATTTCTTTCCAATATTTGTAATGTTTAGCGTTTTCGCTTTATTTAGGCGTTTGTTAGGCTTTCCTTTTTGAGTACATTTACTTGAGCGCACAACCAATTTCCCCTCGAGTAAAATAGACTAGTCCAAATGTCGGCATTAGGCCGACTGGCCGTTTCACACTAGTTTCAGTGTTTGTTTACATTTTGGAGTCAGGTAAATGTTGTTATATATTCAAAAGCGTTAATTCTTTCGCTATTTTGGTATTTTATAGAATATCTAAAGATATTTCCGAGTATTTTGCAATTATTTTCGTAAGAAAAGTGAATTTTCAATTGAGTTTTTTTTGTAAGCAACCAGTGTATGAATGCTTCCAGAGATTTTTGCGTGCACTTTATTTTTGAGTAAGTGCAAAAGAGATTATACATTATGGGTTTCCTGATATTTTGTTACACTATTTTATATATTTATTTGATAATTATTTCATAAATAATATAAGGCATTCCAGAGAAAATTAGTAACACCGAGTCATTGTACAATTGAGAGTAATTAATTTAATGCCAAGAGACTTTCACTAAGAGGTGTATTTTATATATTTAGTGATTGTATGAATATTTGGTGTTAAAACAAAGAGATTCATTATTTGTCAATTGTTTTCAGAACTCCGTCATCAGATTGAATAAATAGGTGTTCGGAAGCCCTCCCGTTTTCCCATTCTTCTTTGTCCAAACCAATATTGATATATATATAATAATAATAATACTTCTACAGTCCATTGGGAGGTGTACTACTGTTACTGGAATTAACACAACTTTTAAAACTTGTAAATTCTGAGCTTGAATAACTGGTGAATTGACAATTCATGCTAGATGCCTGAACTGTCCTCATTAAAGTCACAATGTTCAAAGATCAAGTCTTTGCACTTGTTTTCGAGTTCTCTGTGGATAGTGTCTCTGTTCACCATTTGTTGAAGTCACTGGTTTATCAAGAGTTCTCTCCCTTGATTCAAGGTTGCTGGCTGGCTTTAACGCTGGTTGTAGCGTGGGTTGAGTAGTCTCCTCCTCTCTAGGAATGGTATTACCAGTTGTTACCGGTAACAAAGGTAATGCATTTGGTAATGACAGTCTCAGTTCTTCATCTGCATGTCCCACTGAAGGTAGCATCTGGTTAACATGCACATATCTGGTTCTTGCTTCAGTTTGAACAAGATAACGTTGTTGACCTAAGCGTTTAACTACTCTTCCAGGAATCCATTTCTCACCTTGTGATTCTCTGTCATTTCTAACTCTGCAGGATTCATTCACTTCAAATTCTCTGAGTATGATGGAATTGTCGTGAAATTGCTTCTGTTTTTCTTGTGCTGCTTCCACCATTTTCCGCATGTCTGGTTTCAAAAGTGAAAGTCTTGTGCCAACTTGTCTTCCAAGAAAAAGTTCAGCAGGTGTCCGTCCAGTTACGGAATGAGGAGTTGACCTGTAAGTCAATAGGAAATTTGCCTAGTGTTTCTTTGTTGACTTGTCTCCATTGTCGAGTTTGAGGGACATCATGTGTTTCTTCAGAGCAGATTTAATAACTTGAACAGATCTTTCTGCTGCACCGTTTGATGAAGGGTTGTAGGGTGGACTGAGGGAATGTTTGATTCCATTGTTCTTCATAAAATCTTTGAAGATTTCAGCTGTGAACTGCGGCCCATTATCCGACACTAACTCTTCGGGTAAGCCATATGAAGAAAGTATATTTCTCAATGTCTCTATAGTCTTCTCAGCTGGCGTGGAGGTCATGAGAATAGCTTCAATCCATTTCGAACGACTATCTATCAGCACAAAAAATTGCTGACTTTGAAATTCAGCAAAGTCCACATGCACTCTTTCCCATATTCTCTGAGGATACTTCCAAGGGTGAAGAGGAGCCACTGGTGGGTCATTTTGTAGACTTTGGCATACAGTACAACTTTTAGCTGTCATTTCGATGTCATGATCAAGACCTGGGTACCACACATAGCTTCGAGCGCGTGCCTTCATCTTCACGATGCCCGTATGCTCACTGTGTAGCTCATTCAACACATAGTCTTGATAGCTCTTTGGAATGATAACCCTGAGTCCCCATAACACGCATGGTATAGTCCATCACACGAGCCAATACAGGATCTTTCCTAGTTGCTTGTGCTACTTCTGTTGTTGTGACAGGCAAGTTGATCACATTTGAGAAGTAGTTCATCTTGGCTTCAATAGTTTCTGGGTCATCGTTTCCAGGAAGTCTAGAGAGTCCATCTGCGTTAGCATGATCCTCTGATCTTCGATATCGTATCTCATAGTCATGTGCCATCAAATGAGAGCCCATCGTCGTAAACGTGCTGCTGCCAGTGTAGGTATGCAATTCTTGGGACCTAACAGAGTGGTAAGTGGTTTGTGGTCAGTGATTAAGACAAACTTCCTTTCATAGATGTACTTGTGAAACTTCTTGACTCCGTATATGATCGCAAGTGCTTCTTTTTCTATTTGGGCATAATTTTTCTCACTTGGTGAGAGGGTTCTTGAGGCGAAAGCAACTGGTCTTTCAGTTCCATTATTCATCACATGAGATAGCACACATCCAACACCATATGCGGATGCATCACATGCCAAAGTTAATGGCTTGTTCAAGTCATAGTGGACAAGAACACTTTCACTAGACAACATAGTCTTGCACTTTTGGAAAGCATCTTCTTGTTCTGAATTCCATTTCCAAGGAGTGTCAGCCTTTAAGAGTGAGTAGAGGGATGCTAGAATCGTGGACATGTTTCCCAAGAATCTGCCATAATAATTTAACATTCCCAAGTAAGCTCTTAGCTGTGTGACGTTTTCTGGATGTGGAGCTTCAGCAACGGCCTTAATCTTGTCTTCAAGTGGATGTAGTCCATCCCCATCGATGCAGTGTCCCAGATATTCCACTTTGGGTACCTTGAACTTGCACTTGTCTAAGTTCACTGTAATGCCATAGGTATCCAGACGTTTCAGCACTTCATGAAGCACCTTGTCATGCTGGTCATCTGTCACAGTCCCTATCAATATATCATCCAGCAATGACTCAGCTCTAGGTATGCCTTGTAATACCTGATCCATTATAGACTGAAATATGGAAGGAGCAGTGGCTATTCCAAACGAAAGTCTTTGATATTCGTAGAGGCCTTTATGGGTGTTGATCACTAGTAGTGGTTTTGACCGATCTGTAAGCTCTAGCTGAAGGTATGCATTTGACAAGTCCAACTTCGTGAAGACTTTGGCTCCGCCCATCTTTGCGAATAAATCTTCTGCTGTTGGCAGGGGGTACACATTATCCTCCAGTACCGGATTGACTGTCACCTTATAGTCCCCACATAGTCTTACCATCATATTTGCTTTCAGAACTACCACCACTGGCGTCGACCAATCAGATTTCTCAACCTTCTTAATGATTCCTTCCCGTTCAAGTCTGTCAAGCTCTGTTTCCACTGCGTCCCTTAGGGCATAAGGTACAGGACGTGCTTTAAAGAACTTCGGGTTGGCATCTGCTTTAACCTTGATATCTGCTTTAAAGGTCTTGATAATACCTCTACCTTGGAATACTGAACTGTACTTTGCTTTCAGTTCTTCTTTCAGTGAGTTACACTGTTCAGTTACTGCACATAACTTTCCCCAGTCTAACTTCATGACTGACATCCAGTTTCTTCCAAATAAAGGTGCCCTTCGTCCCCTTGCAACAAGTAATGCTAGGGTGAAGTCTTTCTCATTGTATACCACGGTTACCTTGGCTTCTACAAGTAATGGTATTACCTTTTCTGAGTAATTGTGAAGGGTCACTTTTGTGGAAGATAAGGGTATCTTATCGAAATGTCTCTTGTACATCTCTTCTCCTATGATAGAATGACTAGCAGCCGTGTCAAGGAACAATGCAACATCCTTTCCTTCTATGGTTAGAGGTACCATGAATCCATCATTAGATTTCTCATTGTGATCCATAGAAAATATTGCATACGAATTCTCAGCCCCTGTATCTGAATCTGACATCTCTGCAGTTTCTTCTACCAAGTGTGCCTTCCTAGTATTCTTACGATAGCCAGTTCTCTGATTCTTTGCCCATATACTTCTACAAGCTCTTTCTATATGTCCCAATTTCTTGCACTTATTGCACTTCTTATTCTTATAGTAACAGTCATCTGGGTCATGATTTGTGAGATTACACCAAAACCTGGCTTTCTTTCTGGTTTTCTCTTCCCATGCTTGTTCCCATAGTTACCTGTCTTGAGCCTGTTGATCTTACCATCAGTTGAAGTACCAGCTAATCCCTGTGTGTGGAATGATCTAGTATCCTTGTCTGCAATTTCCATTGAGACTGCAATATCACAAGCTTTCTCCCATGTCAACTCTCTCTGTGTTAAAAGCTTCCTCTGTACAGCTTCACTCTGAACACCACCTACTAAACGATCCCTCAAACGTTCACTAAGTGTGTGGCCAAAGTTGCAATGTTTGCTAAGTCTCTTAAGTTCAAGAATATATTCTTGTATTGATTCACCTTGATTCTGTTTCCGTTCCGTGAAAGTTTGCCATTCCCAAATAACATTGCGTACTGGTTTGTAGTAACGTTTCAATGCTTCTGTAAGATCGTTGTACTGAACATCGGCAATGTCGGTCAGCGAAAACATAGACACTAACAGTTCAAAGGCACTTGGTCCGATAGTTGCCAAGAATACGTTTGCACGATCTTCTGTCTTGAACTTGTTAGCCTTCATCCATATTTCCAGTCGTTTCTGGTAGCTTTCCCAGTCTTCTTTGCCGGGGTAAACTCGCTCATCGATCCTACCATGGGCGTGGCCATCTTGGATCACGTGACTTCCGCTTTTAAAATCCGGAGAATTCGGGTCAGCCCAGTTTGTTGCTTCGATAAACTTGGGTCGTGTTACTTAGCACTAACACTGTTCATTTAACGTGAAATAGGTTACTGTCCAACCTAGGAATGTGTGATATTACAATATTATCACTGGCTTCACTATGTGTGATATTCCAATATTATCACTGGCTTCACTATTTTCCTTCCGAAAGAACGAATGTCACATGGCACGCAAAGCCGTAGCTGATGTGTTCGTTCTGTCACTTTTCCTGAATTACCACATTAAGTAAACAGTTCCAAAATACTCCCTTAGGTATCCCCTCCTTAGGGATCCCATCCTCGTCGCCAAAACTGACATGTATTCACACATTTATGCTCGGGAGTATGCACGCCAAACACAACAGAACATGGAAGGAAGCCATCCTAGTTTACTCAGACATCGCATCCATACATGACATCATCATATGACGTAACGAGATAATGTGTACTTGGATATTGCGGGAAACTGTATCACACAAGATGTAAACAACTATAAGGAGAATACACTACAGTGTACCGGTACATTATAAATAAATAATTAAGAGCCACTCTTTTGTTTATTATTGTACTTCGGGTTCCCAGAATGAGACTTCAATGGAGAAGCAAAAAACTCATCTGTAGAGACTGTAAAAAGTTTATCATTAAAAGACTATCATCACAAATTCCATTCTCATTCCATTATGAGCATGTGACCCAGTAATGGTTTGAAGATCCTCTTATGGATATTGTTGATAGTTTCCTCATCTTGTCTTAGCTATTCAATCCTGCGGTAGGATTGATAAAAGAGTTTCGACAAAGCGTAAAATGGGAAGCCAAACAAATATACCTGCGGCAATAGAGCATACGGACAACTTTGTTTGTAGACCTAATTGACTGGAGACCCCTTCCAAATTGGTTAAAAGTCACGGTTGAATAGCTTGCTCAAAACTGCAAAGTCATCATAGTATGATGTCCTATGTGGAAACACACAAGTGCATGTTATACCTGATGACATGCCACTGTGTCCTAGTATAGACGGGTTTTCAAGATCACTCAACAGCAGTGATTCATCCATAAAGTGATGAGAAAATACCTCCAGATGCAGATGTGTAACTGTCTTGGGATTGAAGCATGTTGGCTCCAGCTTCCTCCTGTACATCTCATGGTTACAAGACGAATACAGACTAGGGTAATCTGTGACCCACCGTCCAACCGTGGGATAAATGCATAGAGTGAGTTAGAGGATAAGTTTAAAAATTTGTAAAATTTACAATAAATTTGCATATTTAGAATACTTATCCTATCTCACACGATCTATGCCTGCCCATCCGACCTCGCATGAGTCGCATCACAGTTACACAGCCTGTCTGCTCCAAGAAAGAGAATGATGAGACCGAGGTCAAGTGGCCAGATTGAGGTTCATATGCTGTATGGGATTCCAGTGCATAACCTGATTGCTGGGACGGTCGGCAAATGAAGTATAGAAACTGGAAACTTTGTTCAAGGATGTTTCCACACAAGGGATCAGAAAAAGAAGGATGAAATGCATAGAGTGAGATAGGATAAGTTTTATAAATATACAATTTATTGTAAAATTTACAATTTTTGTTCTTTTGTCACATTCATGTCTATACTTTTTACAGGGAATGTTTGTTATGTAGTTTGATCCAAGCATTTGTTTGCATTAATGTTGTTCATTTGTTGAGGAATCATGGAAACAGTGCAACTAGAATGTGAGGTCAGGGTTTGTTAATGCAGTTCTCATTTTTGTGGTGATTAGAAGTACAATATGCTTGTAAATAATATTTGTGGTGATTTCCACAGCTTTTGTAGATGTGGAGGCAATCCGAGAGGAGGAGAGGAGGAAAATAAGAGAAGAAGAGAGGAGGAGAAGAGAGGAGGAGGAAGACCGAAGATTCAGAGATAAAGAAGCAATCCTCAGAGAACAGGAGGTGAGGGCATACTGCAGCTATTGATAACAGCATTGCTTTGTAGAAGTACTGCTGTACCTAAACATAAGGATCAGTTGGAACTTATTTCTAAGGCGATATCCAGTGACGTGCAGCTGTTTCATGTTTTGAGGAGTTTATGTTTTGGTTACAGGAACAGCTTCGTCAGAAGGAGGAGCATCTGAGACAGGAGCAGGAGAGATTTCACCAAGAGCAGGAGCAGCTGCAGCTGCTGAGGGCTTCTGCTGAGCAGCAAGCTGATGTCACCCGATTCGAAGCGCCAGTGTCACAGGTGAGGGAGGCCTCCCCTTCCTATCAGTCGACAATCACACAGAAACGTCTAGAGAAGATGCGCAACCAGGCAGCCCCTCATTATTCCACAACAGTGGTGGTGGAGCCCAAACCTTGGCAGCAAAGCCATGTCAAGTTAGTGACTGATGGCAGTGGTAAGCCGACCTTCTCACGAGAAGATATGTTAGCCATGAACAGGAAACCCACACCTTTACAGACTCGCCCAGATACAACTCCGCCAAACAGTCCCACTGGCTCAGGGCCAATCAAACGTCCCACTCCATCCAGGGAACAATTGCGTTCCCTCAATGCTGTGCCCAAACCCAAATTCAGATCATCACATGATTGGATTGGCGGTGAACAAAATATGCAACATAATACGCGAAGTTTTCCATCATCAAGACATTCTGATATCATGAGAAAGCAATATTCTACCCCACAAGAACACTGGTTATTTGAGGAGGCAGAGAGAAGGAGACTGGCAAACCAGGATCCTAAATCTCAAACCAGACAACCCACACAAACACAGTTTAGTGGTCCCATCAAACCTACAGCAGATAATCGCTGGAGAGGGGAGCCGTCTATGGATAGGAGACAGTCTCCGAATTTAAACTCCTCTTTTGAGCCACATCACCCAGAAGGAAACATGCCAGCTGCTATTCGCCAGACTCTTTTGCAGAAAACAGCAGGTGCCCGTGGTTCAACTGGGAGCAACTATTCACAGGATCTGGGTGGGTCTTACAATCAACACCCTTACCAAGGTCCATCATTGTCACAAACCATGCCAACATCTTACAACTACAACAGCCCACGTTACAGGGACCAACAAGGTCAAGATATTCAAGTACCACCATCAAGCCGAGCACCGCCACCCCCTCAGAAGTCGGATTCCTCCACAGCTCTAAGTGGCAGACAACAGTGCTCTCATTGCAACCAGGAGCTAGGTACATCTGTTCTGCTTGTATTTCTGTATGCTTACTTCACCTTGATCCAAAGTCCTAGTAACTAAAGTCATGATCCGTTTGTCCTTCATGTTTGTGTAAATAGTTTGGTTTTGAAAAGAAAATTAAGATATTAAGATTTAAAAAACCCATTAAGATGCATGTTCAGTAAGCCAAAGGTTTGTGTCATTGATAATGACTGGCAGAGTTAAAGGTTTTTTCAAGGGAAAACACATTAAGTTGGTTCAAGTAATCAATTTTATAGTTCATTCAAAGTATCAGTCTTTGAGTTTATAAAAGGCATCAATCATTAAGTTCATTCAAAGTATCAGTCGTTAAGTTGGTTCCAGGTATCAGTCGTTAAGTTTATTCGAAGTATCAATCATTAAGTGCATGCAAGGTATCAATCATTAAGTTCCTTAAGTATCAGTCATTAAGTTGGTTTAAGGCATCAATTATTAAGTTCATTGAAGGTCTCAATCAACCGCCTCCGTGGTCTTGGGGAAGGTCTGGGGTTCGATTCCCAGCTGCGTCATACCAAAAGACATTAAAAGATGGTACTTGTTGTTACCCTGCCTGGCCTTGTCGGCTCAGGTATACACAGTGGGCTATCACTATAAATCGGCATCAGTCCAGACTAGTCCAGCCACACATTCACACACAGGTGCATGCACGTCGCTATATAACTGCAATAATCTTGGACGTGATGTTAAACACAATTTCACCTCACCCAATCATATTAAGTTGGTTCAAGGTATCTACTCATGAAGTTCATTCAAGGTATCAATCATCATGCCCTTGTAAATCTAAGCCATTTTGACAGTCTGTATGTACAATATACTTGAATAATTACTGGGTTAGCATGACACTGAAATTTTGTCTTTTTTCCCCTGATTTAGGATTTGGTGCAGCAATGATCATCGAGTCCCTGGGTCTATCATACCATGTGCAGTGTTTCAAGTGCTGTGTGTGTCACACACCACTAGGGAATGGCAGTGAAGGTGCTGACGTCCGGGTCCGGGTCAACAAGCTGCACTGCCCCAACTGCTACAGCAACGATGAAGGTATTGCATACATGGGCAAGTTTTAGCCTGGTGTGCAAGCCCTGAGCATTCCACAGTCAGTGCAGGGTAAATCAAGTGGCCTTCTTCTGTAGCCATACAAACATATGTGTGTCACTCCGCTAATCCTCCGTCCTCTCTAACTCTACCACTTCATTGCCAATTCTTTCCCAGTCCAGATGGTGGCGTTAGAAAAGTATACTTTTATATCCATGTCTGTTCAGTTTCCATCTGCAGTGCTCTGTTTTAGTGAATATTTTCTCTTTTTTTTATCAGCCTTTTGTGAAGAGTTAATAGTTTGCATCTTGGAACTAAATGAGTTCTGCAGATGTGTACTAGTGTGTATCTAATATATAACAATGACCAGTAACAATAATGAATTAATCCACTGTAAAATAACCAAGTGTTTGATGTCAGTAGCATGTCCACCAAGCTGATTGAGCAAGCTGTGTAGCCAGTGTATAGCCTCTAATACTCTGTACTCTGTTCTTCCTGCATGGAGAGTACTTAGCAATGTCAGGTTGGTGACATTGTTCTGTAACCTCCTGAAACTTCAGGACTACATATCCAGAGAGGAAAATGTGAGACACTTGACCAAACTGACCACAGGCTAGTACCAACAATGTCCATAGCATCTAACCCTTCTCGCTGACTGTGGCATGTGTGCTGGCTGGCACAGCAGGGCATGTAACTCTTGATGTTCTCAATCTAGCACTTACAGAGATGTGTATTGATCTTTAATAGGAATTTTACTATTCTTTAGTAGTTATTTTCTGATGCATGTCTTAAACCGTTTTATTTTGTATTACTTATGTTTTGTATTTTCTCTCCTGTATTTATGTATGTATATAAGTATGTAGTTCATGTTTTTATGTTTCATTTCTATTATAATAATAATACAATAGTGTAGTATGCTTGTAGAACAGTTAATAAGTGTTCACAGTTAATCATGTTTGAATTCAGAAAGTGGCGACTGTACTTCACATTAGATTTTTAAATTCTTTTCCTTTTGTTTTTCTTGCAGCTGGCCTGAAATTCAGCAAAGTTTAACTGGTGCAGTTAAACAAGTGTTGACCATCTTCAGAACTCCATGAGAGATAGTGTTTCTTCACTGATACTGTGAAGTTGTTGTCTATTTTATTGAATGGCTGTTGAATTGCACCAGATGGAGTCCCTGCATCCAAGTATCGTGAGCCTTTCCATGGTTTCATATTGATGCTGTTAATCATCAATATGTTACAAAATCAAACTATTGTAGTCTTAATAATGTTTCACGCAATATGCATGTAATCAGTTTTTCCCCACGAAGAGCTTAAATGTAACACATGTTAAAGCACCCAATTATCCCTATATTGTATTTGCTATTAATGGTGTAGCATATTTGGCTGACTGGACCATGTCCTAGCTTTCTCCAGCTACCAGATGGTGTGGATGTCATATATGATGTAATCATATAATGTTCCTTATCTCCTGGGTGGAGTTGGTCACTTTAGTGTCAACGTTTGTCTGTTCAACATGGAGTATAGTGGACACAGAAGTCCACAAGTTAATTGCAATGTATGTGGATGGAGTACAGAGAAAAGAAACATTGATTTGTTCTTAAATCTGTCAGAAAAGACAGTGTTGTTTTTAAGACTCCTGTTATAAAAGCTTTGTAGAATAACGTTGACCTGTCATTACCATTATTGTAAATACTGTACATAAGTTAGATGTATATGGATTTGTTGGAGTGTACCTGATGGACCAGATGATACAGGAGTTAGAGTTAGCAGATGGGCATGCCTATGTATATGAGATAGGATGTACATATTCCACATATTCCATGTTGTTTGTCTCTGTACATGCTATAGTGATAGTAAGAGCATGATTTTTTTACTTATGGTTTTCATGTAGGTCAAGAATATACAGACGATAAGTCATCAATATGATTTTGCAACAACTGCTTCAGAATATTGTTACTCTTCTCATTTTATTGCCCCTCCACATTACTGTTTTATTTTCTTCTTTCACTAGTCTATTTATGCTAGATAGGAGCTGTGTGTTGCAAGGCAAAGAGCGTCTGTAGACACATCATGAGTATGTAGGCCACACTGTGTGGATTGTGTGTCTCAGGGGAGATTGTCTGGGGGCACATTGGTCCATGAATCTGGAGTATGTTGTAGGAAATGGGAGTAAAGCTAAATATGCGGTACTGATGGAACAAGAATTTGCAATACTTGTGCTTAAAATTGGTTTTGATAATTGCAGAAATGCTGTCTATAGATGGATCCTTTGTGTATATATTGCAGATTTATGCCTGTACCTCAGCACCTATATATACACCAAACCTGATCCATAATACAAACAATACACACACTGGGCTTTCAAATGTGCATTTAAGAATTTGGCTTCTAGTTTAGAATAACATTCAGAATATAGAAGGTACAGGAATTGTCATTGTTAAATGAATGCATATTATATTTTACTTGATACAAGTATCACCTGGCGTTTGGAGTATGCAAACCATTTTGCCTTTTGCTGTGCTGGTATTAATCAGATTTGTTATACTTTCAGTCAATAGTCATTTATGCTGGACTTGTATTTTCATACCTAAGAATATATTTTTTGGCATCAAATATAAAGGAATTCAGAACTAATTTTGCATGTAGCTGTAGATACAATGTACTCAGTTAGTAATTTTTGTATATCATATGTACCCAATATGTTTTGGTCACATGGTGAAACAACCATTATTTTCACTTGCAAGGATAGCTCTTTATCTGTTCCTAGTAGGGAATGAGCTTAGTGCAGTACTTACTGTGAAAAAAATGCTTTGTGCATGTTATGGAACCGAAGGAATGTCTGGTTGATAATCCTTTGTTTCTGATACAGGATTTGTGAGGCTGCAATTGTTACCATTATGTCTTTTAGTAATTTCTGTCCAAGGAACATGTCTCGGGCCACAATTGCATGACTTGGTGTATCACTTGGTTGTGAAGGTCAATCACACCCTCGTGATCTGTTTTACCAATTTGTTCTGAAGGTCTGCACAACATCCAAGTGATTGGTTTTACCAATTGGTTGTGAAGGTCTGCAACATCCTCATGATTGGTTTGACCTATTGGTTGTGAAGGTCCACCACATCTTAGATATCGTTTTGACCAATTGCTTGTGAAGGTCCACCACATCCTCGTGATTGGTTTGACCAATTGGCTGTGAAGGTCCACCACATCCCAGTAATCGGTTTTACCAATTGGTTGTGAAGGTCTACAAAATCCTAGTGATCGATTTTACAAATTGGTTGTGAAGGTCTGCAACATCCTAGTGATTGGTTTGACCCATTGGTTGTGAAGGTCTGCAACATCCTCATGATAGGTTTGACCAATTGGTTGTGAAGGTCTGCAACATCCTCATGATAGGTTTGACCCATTGGTTGTGAAGGTCTGCAACATCCTAGTGATCGGTTTGACCAATTGGTTGTGAAGGTCTGCAACATCCTAGTGATCGGTTTGACCCATTGGTTGTGAAGGTCTGCAACATCTAGTGATCGGTTTTACCACTTGGTTGTGAAGATCCTCTACATCCTCGTGATCGGTTTGACCAATTGGTTGTGAAGGTCCACCACATCCTAGTGATCGGTTTGACCAATTGGTTGTGAAGGTCTGCAACATCTAGTGATCGGTTTTACCACTTGGTTGTGAAGATCCTCTACATCCTCGTGATCGGTTTTGCCAATTGGTTGTGAAGGTCCACCACATCCTAGTGATCGGTTTGACCAATTGGTTGTGAAGGTCTGCAACATCTAGTGATCGGTTTTACCACTTGGTTGTGAAGATCCTCTACATCCTCGTGATCGGTTTTGCCAATTGGTTGTGAAGGTCCACCACATCCTAGTGATCGGTTTGACCAATTGGTTGTGAAGGTCTGCAACATCCTAGTGATCGGTTTTACCATTTGGTTGTGAAGATCCACTACATCCTCGTGATCGGTTTTACCAAACGGTTGTGAAGGACCACAGTTCTATGGCTAAGTATTCCATTATTTTGTATTGGTCTCAAATCTGAGACATCTGTGACAAATGGCCAATCATATTATGATTTTGAAAGTTATGTCACATAGTTGCAGACACAGGCCAGGTAGATATGACTGACAACAGTGACAGCTAATGTATGAGTGCACCCACCATCCTAATGCACTGCTTGTGTTACCCATGTCCTTGCACCCTCACTGGTGTGAAGGAATAGCTACACTCGGGGCTGAGATTCAGTGAAATAGCAGACACCACAGTTTGTGATGGCTGATAAGGTTTGTATAAGGGTAGACAACATGCATTATGTTTATACTATATCTGTTAATATGTTAAATGTGTAATAGACCTTATGAACAAAAAGTGGAGATGTGAGTCTCAAACTACATTGTGTATGGTTAGGAATGTTCAATATCTCCATTTGCACTTTGCTGTGGATTTAAAGACCTACTTTTTGTTAATTAAGAAAAGAAAGTTTTTAAATTTAATGGAATGTCCAGTTTTTCTATTGGTAATTTCTAGCCTCAGTTGTGTAGCTGTTGACAGGCCAGGTGTCTGATATGGCTGAGCAAGTGTTAACTGGGACTAGTTTCACATATTATTCCAGTGGAAACATACAGGGGTATCTGTTGATTGATTTCTACATCTTTGAAAGATTTCTTGAAATTAATTTCTTTTATTTTTAAATGTTCAAGTTTTGGGTTATTTATAAGAACATAGATCTGCAGAAAGGGTGTTATAGTTCAGGTTAATATGTATTTTGAAGTTCACTTGGTAAAATGTACACCCATACTACTTACTGAAGATGTAATGATGTGACAGATGGTAAGTTCTGGTTGTGCCACCCCGGAGTGGTGCTGCTGTGTTTCTCCATGTGTTTAGCCTACCTACATCAGAGGAAGGTCAGGGTCACCAGCATGGGAGTCCTCAACCACAGCACTGCTACAGAGGATAAACATGCTGATGCCACTTAATTTGTAAAATATACAATTTGGAATAATTTGTTTATGTACATACCATTTTTAGAAAAGCAGTTGTCTTTTAAAATGTTCCAAATTATTTAGGTTAAGCATTATGAATTTGTTACTCGGTTGTTATTTAAACCATGTTAAAGTTTGAACATGTGATATACTCTCCTTTACCACCAACTGATGTTAAGATTGACCTTGATGCAGTTCATGTAAGTCATAAGGTAGTGACATAATCACTTCTATTTGATAAGTTCTAGTTTGCTCTGTCGTGGTGCACCTGTGTGGGAGACATGGGGAGAGTCGAGCTTGTCACATATCAGCTCGTGTGGAGGTGCACCTGTGTGGGAGACATAGGGAGAGTCTAGCTTGTCACATGTCAGCTGGTTTGGAGGTGCACCTGTGTGGGAGACATAGGGAGAGTCGAGCTTGTCACATGTCAGCTGGTGTGGAGGTGCACCTGTGTGGGAGACATAGGGAGAGTCTAGCTTGTCACATGTCAGCTTGTGTGGAGGTGCACCTGTGTGGGAGACATAGGGAGAGTCTAGCTTGTCACATGTCAGCTGGTGTGGAGGTGCACCTGTGTGGGAGACATAGGGACAGTCTAGCTTGTTAGCTGGTGTGGAGGTGCACCTGTGTGTTCTTTATGCTGGTGATGTACCACACTGACAACATCTAGAATCATGTAATACACTGTCAGTACAAGCTGAGGATATATGCTGATATCACAATATGCAGCAATAAAGAAATAATAATGTTAATCGGAGTTGTGTTGTCAGTTTATTCCTCAATACTATGGCAGCATTATGTAGTAAATGGCAACTCGCCCCAAGGTTGATCTGTGAAATGAACCAATGAGATATTTAAGAATTCTGACATTTTTTACCGAAAGAAAATACAGAACAAACTGAGTCGAAGCTGATGTTTTTTTGTATCCGAACAAGGCTACTTTTACTAGGCGTTTTTAGGATGACCTCTTGTAATGCCATGAGAGGTTGAATGCGATATCGCCAAAAGGCAATATTGTAGAAATCACCTCTGATGACGTCACAATAGGTTGATATGGGTAATAAACAGTTATCCATTGTAAAGACCATATCATCCCAAGGTGTGTAAGAACATATATGCACATGGTTTACAACTGGACATCTCTACTCTACAGTACAATGTTCATTGTTATGCAGACAAATTGTGTAAGATACACAACAGACCATTTCTCTCTGTGGGACACTGTTTCTGCTTCATAGTTCATCTTAGATAATAATGACCTTATTTAAGAAATAAGCAATCGTGGTTGTTGTTTATCGTACCATCAAACACTGCAAGGAGAATAAACCAAGAGGGGATATAAGAGTTATCAACATTATGTACAGCCTTTATAAGGATGATGATAATATGTCTAAGCTTTGAAAATAATTAAATTATTTTAATAAAGGCCCCCTCAATAGAATCCGGCCTCCGCAATGTCGGACAAAACAGGTTGGTATTTCCCGCATATTCTCACAATCCTCACGTCAATTACCTGTACCTTTTCTCCCAATACTGATTGTGATATCTCTCTTGCTTTTGGAGGGGGCACTGGTGGCCCCGTCGTCTAAGGTGCCACGATTCGCTGTGCAGAGTTGCATCCCTTGGGCACGCCAGAAACCTATGATTGTGGGTTTGAATCCCGGTTCGCCCCAATTATGTTTCTAGGTTTGTCAGCACCATACCCGTGCTCGTTGGTTTCACCAAAGTGGTAAATGTCTAAGACCTGCATCACTTCGGGCTTTCCTCCCACATTAAGCTGACACGCCATGATATAACTGGAATACTGTTAAAAGCGGCGTAAAACCCAACTCACTCACTCACTCACTCTTGGATAGTTTAGCCATCTGCGTGGCCCGGCTGCATCTATGGGGAACAATTCACAAGAATTTGAAATGGTCAATATGAAAACAGGAGACAAGACATGGACAGAATAAATTCACAAGCAATGAGTGATTTTCTTTTTGAGAAGATGTTATTGTTGGGGGAAAGACGTGTTATTCTTCATGCAATCATTAAAGTGTTATTGTTGGGGGAAAGACGTGTTATTCTTCCTGCAATCATGAAAGTGTTATTGTTGGGGGAAATACGTGTTATTCTTCCTGAAATCATGAAAGTGTTATTGTTGGGGGAATTACAAGTTATTCTTCCCGCAATCATTAAAGTGTTATTGTTGGTGGAAAAACGTGTTATTCTTCCTGCAATCTTTAAAGTGTTATTGTTGGGGGAAAGACGTGTTATTCTTCCTGCAATCTTTAAAGTGTTATTGTTGGGGGAAAGACATGTTATTCTTCCTGCAATCTTCAAAGGGTTATTGTTGGGGGAAAGACATGTTATTCTTCCAGCAATCATTAAAGTGTTATTGTTGGGGAGAAGACGTGTTATTCTTCCTGCAATCTTTAAAGTGTTATTGTTGTGGGAAAGACGTGTTATTCTTTCTGCAATATTTAATGTGTTATTGTTGGGGGAACAGACGTGTTATTCTTCCTGCAATCATGAAAGTGTTATTGTTGGGGGAAAGACGTGTTGATCTTCCTGCAATCATGAAAGTGTTATTGTTGGGTAAAAGACGTGTTATTCTTCCTGCAATCTTTAATGTGTTATTGTTGGGGGAAAGAGGTGTTATTCTTCCTGCAATCTTCAAAGTGTTATTGTTGGGGGAAAGACGTGTTATTCTTCCTGCAATCATTAAGGTGTTATTGTTTGGGAGAAGACGTGTTATTCTTCCTGCAATCATGAAAGTGTTATTGTTGGAGGAAAGACGTGTTGTTCTTCCTGCAATCCTGAAAGTGTTATTGTTGGAGTAAAGACGTGTTATTCTTCCTGCATTCTTTAAAGTGTTATTGTTGGTGGAAAGACGTGTTATTCTTCTTGCAGCCATGAAAGTGTTATTGTTTGGGGAAAGACGTGTTATTAATCCTGTAATCATTAAAGTGTTATTGTTGGTGGAAAGACGTATTGTTCTTCCTGCAATCTTTAATGTGTTATTGTTGGGGGAAAGACGTGTTATTCTTCCTGCAATCTTCAAAGTGTTATTGTTGTGGGAAAGACTTGTTATTCTTCCTGCAATCATTAAAGTGTTATGGTTGGGGAGAAGACGTGTTATTCTTCCTGCAACCATGAAAGTGTTATTGTTGGGGGAAAGACGTGTTATTCATCCTGCAATCTTTAAAGTGTTATTGTTTGGGGAAAGACATGTTATTCTTCCTCCAATCTTTAAAGTGTTATTGTTGTGGGAAAGACGTGTTATTCTTCGTGCAATCTTTAAAGTGTTATTGTTGTGGGAAAGACGTGTTATTCTTTCTGCAATCTTTATTGTGTTATTGTTGGGGGAACAGACGTGTTATTCTTCCTGCAATCTTCAAAGTGTTATTGTTGGGGGAAAGACGTGTTATTCTTCCTGCAATCATTAAAGTGTTATGGTTGGGGAGAAGACGTGTTATTCTTCCTGCAACCATGAAAGTGTTATTGTTGGGGGAAAGACGTGTTATTCATCCTGCAATCATTAAAGTGTTATTGTTTGGGGAAAGACATGTTATTCTTCCTCCAATCTTTAAAGTGTTATTGTTAGGGGAAAGACGTGTTATTCTTCCTGCAATCTTTAAAGTGTTATTGTTGTGGGAAAGACGTGTTATTCTTTCTGCAATCTTTAATGTGTTATTGTTGGGGGAACAGACGTGTTATTCTTCCTGCAATCATGAAAGTGTTATTGTTGGGGGAAAGACGTGTTGTTCTTCCTGCAATCATGAAAGTGTTATTGTTGGGGGAAAGACGTGTTATTCTTCCTGCAATTTTTAAAGTGTTTTTTTTCGGGGGAAGACGTCTCATTCTTCCTGTAGTCTATAAAAGTGTTATTGTTTGATGGAAGACGTATTATTCTTCATGCAATCATTAAAGTGTTATTGTTTGGGGAAAGACATGTTTTTCTTCCTGCAATCTTTAAAGTGTTATTGTTAGGGGAAAGACGTGTTATTCTTCCTGCAATCTTTAAAGTGTTATTGTTGGGGGAAAGACGTGTTATTCTTCCTGCAATCTTTAAAGTGTTATTGTTGTGGGAAAGACATGTTATTCTTCCTGCAATCTTTAAAGGATTACTGTTTGGGGAAAGACGTGTTATTCTTCCTGAAATCTTTAAAGTGTTATTGTTGTGGGAAAGACGTGTTATTCTTTCTGCAATCTTTAATGTCTTATTGTTGGGGGAACAGACGTGTTATTCTTCCTGAATTCATGAAAGTGTTATTGTTGGGGGAAAGACGTGTTGATCTTCCTGCAATCATGAAAGTGTTATTGTTGGGGAAAAGACGTGTTATTCTTCCTGCAATCTTTAATGTGTTATTGTTGGGGGAAAGACGTGTTATTCTTCCTGCAATCTTCAAAGTGTTATTGTTGGGGGAAAGACGTGTTATTCTTCCTGCAATCATTAAGGTGTTATTGTTTGGGAGAAGACGTGTTATTCTTCCTGCAATCATGAAAGTGTTATTGTTGGGGGAAAGACGTGTTGTTCTTCCTGCAATCCTGAAAGTGTTATTGTAGGAGTAAAGACGTGTTATTCTTCCTGCATTCTTTAAAGTGTTATTGTTGGTGGAAAGACGTCTTATTCTTCTTGCAGCCATGAAAGTGTTATTGTTTTGGGGAAAGACGTGTTATTAATCCTGCAATCATTAAAGTGTTATGGTTGGTGGAAAGACGTGTTGTTCTTCCTGCAATCTTTAATGTGTTATTGTTGGGGGAAAGACGTGTTATTCTTCCTGCAATCTTTAAAGTGTTATGGTTGGGGAGAAGACGTATTATTCTTCCTGCAACCATGAAAGTGTTATTGTTGGGGGAAATACGTGTTATTCATCCTGCAATCTTTAAAGTGTTATTGTTTGGGGAAAGACGTGTTATTCTTCCTGCAGTTTTTAAAGTGGTATTTTTCAGGGGAAGACGTCTCATTCTTCCTGCAGTCTTTAAAGTGTTACTGTTTGGGGGAAAGACGTGTTATTCATCTTGCAATCATTAAAGTGTTATTGTTGGGGGAAAGACGTGTTATTCTTCCTGCAATCTTTAAAGTGTTATTGTTGGGGGAAAGACGTGTTATTCTTCCTGCAATCTTTAAAGTGTTATTGTTAAGGGAAAGAAGTATTATTCTTCCTGCAATCTTTAAAGTGTTATTGTTGGGGGAAAGACGTGTTATTCTTCCTGCAATCTTTAAAGTGTTATTGTTGGGGAGAAGACGTGTTATTCTTCCTGCAATCTTTAAAGTGTTATTTTTTGGGGAAAGGCATGTTATTCTTCCTGCAATCTTTAAAGTGTTATTGTTGGGGGAAAGACGTGTTATTCTTCCTGCAATCTTTAAAGTGTTATTGTTGGGGAGAAGACATGTAATTCTTTCTGCAATCTTTAAAGTGTTATTGTTTGGGGAAAGACATGTTATTCTTCCTGTAATCTTTAAAGCGTTATTGTTGAGGGAAAGACGTGTTATTCTTCCTGCAATCTTTAAAGTGTTATTGTTGAGGGAAAGACTTGTTATTCTTCCAGCAATCTTTAAAGTGTTATTATTGGGAGAAGACGTGTTATTCTTCCTGCAATCTTTAAAGTGTTATTGTTGGGGGAAAGACATGTTATTCGTCCTGCAATCTTGAAAGTGTTATTGTTGGGGGAAAGACGTGTTATTCTTCCTGTAATGTTTAAAGTGTTATTGTTTGGGGAAAGACGTGTTATTCTTCCTGCAATTTTTAAAGTGTTATTGTTG